GTCTTGTAATCTTTTCTAACCTGAAATGGAGAAAATATCTTCTATGGCAGAGACTGGCAATTGTTCCCTAATATCCATTCTCTCCTTCACCTATAGTAACAAAATATTTAGCTAAGCACCTGGCCTCTCATTTCCCAGCCTCCCTTGCAGCTAGGTGTGGCCGTGTGACTAAGTTATAGTCAATGAGATGTGTCCAGAACAGCTTCTGGGAATCTTCCTTAAGAGACAACTTCCCCCTTTTCCCTCCATCCTGCTGCATGGAATGTGGATGTGATGGCTGAAGCAATGTCCTGGACAGTGAGGACAGGTTGTGACACCAAAGGGACGGCAAAACAGAAAGCTGGCAGGAGCCTAGGTCCATAGGACTTAATGGAGCACAGCCACCATACTAGCTGAGGACCTTTACATGAGAGAGAGAGAGATTTTTTTGTCATTTAAGCCACCATTGGTTTCAGTCCTTCTTAGGTGCAGCCAAACCTAATCCTAACGGTGTACTTACTGTGAAGTATTGTCACGAGGATTAAACGAGACACAGATAATTGTTGGGCACGGTGCCTGGTGCATAGTAGACAATAGTACGGGTTTCCTCCCTCCTTTTTTGTACCTAATAAGGCACAGCAGCCTCTTCATGATCTGGTGTTAGATTTGCTCTTCACTACCTACATTAGAACAAAATTACAGGAAATTTTTTTTCTAATAAAAATTGAGACCTGTGGAAGACTTTCCTCCATTTTCCTTTGTCCTCTGCAGCCCTGAAAACAACCAATTTAATGGAACACCTTATCTTAAATACAAATCTAGGGAATTGTGGAGGGATTTAAACTTTGGGAGAGACTGTATTATAATACAACATTAATTATGGTGGATTGGGCAGGGGTATGATGCTGTGCTTAAGAGATTGACTTTGAAGACAGGTCTGCTTGTGTTTCCCATCTCTGTCACTTACTGTGGGACCTTGGGCAAGTTATTATCCTCTCTGAGACTTTGCTTCCTCATCATTAAAATAAAAGAATAACAGTATGTAAGTTTGTTGTGAGGATTAAATAAAATAATCAATTAAGATGCTTAATTAAAAATGTTATGTAAAGGTAGCTATACGTGACAACACAACAATAATAATAATTCTATATGTTCAAATGTGGTGATTATCAATATGGATGCAGTTGCTTTCTTAAATCCTTTATGAAAGTGGCAGGATATAAATCAATAAATCAGCAAGTCAGTAAATTAGGTAGTTTCTACTTTTTGGCCTATTAAATGCACCTGTAAAGTGGGTAATGTTTTTCCCCTATAAATAGCATTGTATTTATAGACAAATAGAGTTTGGCTGTGTTATTTCCCACTTAGCATTAGATAGATCATTGCTTTGTTTAATCATTTGTTATAATGGCATAAATGAATCATTTGTAACAAGCACTTGAAAAAGCAAAATGATGATCCAAGTTCTATAAAATCTAAAATGAGCTTGCAAACACTAAACATGCTGATTAACCAAGGAATTCCAAAGTACTGTAAAATAGACACACTACAAACAGAAAGTATAACTGTTCATTGTCAAAAATGTAAAACAAATGTCTTACCAATTACAGGAAGATTTGAACAGATTCCTTTTCCTTCTCTATATACTTTTCCTTGCAGCAAGTAAAGCCATTCAGTCATCCCGCAGACACAAGAGCTGCCTCGTAGCCACGGGAGCTTCACATTATGCCTTCCTGGGTTATTGGCTATGCTTCACGCTACATTAGTATTTCATAAAAGATGTAATCAAATCAAGGGCATAGATTTCTTGTTAAGTCAACCAGCACCTATTGGGCACCAGGAAACTGAGCTGGAGCTACTGAGAGAGTTCACAGTCCAGGAGCAGAGACAGACGTACGCACCTAGCTCCATCACCGCAGGAGTCCTGGCCGGAGCGTGGGCAAAGCAAGAGGGAGAGAGGAAAATAAATATTGATTCAAATGCAGGGAGGCACAGTCAGAGCAGGTCTAAAGGAGAAAATGACTTTTGTTCTGGGTTTTTTTCTGGTGGAGTCCAGAGTCCAGTGAAGGCATGGAAGCATGAAATATACTACATGCTGTTTTCAGGGAATGGGGAGTAGTTTATTGTGATGGGAGCTTAGGACAACAAAGAACATAGGTGTGTCTTGTGAACCCCAAATCCTGCGCTTACCTCTTTCTAGTTTTTGAGTGTTTGTACATAGGGAAAACCAGCATCTGGGAAGGCATAGGCTGCAAGGATGGAGGCCCTGATCCTTTCATCTGGAAACCTCAGGGTTTTCCTGTGATCATCTCCTGAAGCTTGTGACATTGTCCTCATGCTCTGCTGCCGATCAAGAACAACTGGGATGGCCACCGCAGGCAGTCACTGAACACAGCCGCGGGTTTTCACCCTCATTACTAAAAGAAGCATCCTGTATTCTGAGAATACCCAATGGCCTGCTCTTCTACGGTTTGGTTCTGTTATGTAAAGGCAGGCTCAATAAGAGAGAACAGGAGGATGCTGGTGGGATCCTGTTCTGAGAGAAACTAATATCACGTTGCTTTAATAAACTACTGCTGCTTTAATAAACTACTGCTGCAGAGAATTCATAACACCAAAGACCCTTCCTGGCAGTGACCAGAGAACACGGAGCCTTCAGGGAGCACTCCAAACTGCTAAGACCCCTAGGACATATAAAATTCCCCTCCACTTAGCCTAATAATACCTACTCCTCAAACACCATAAAATCATGGACAATCCAGGTATTTGGAACATGAAGTGAGATATACTAGTTTAGTTTTTTACACTTTTTTGGAGTATCTTAATCCATGCACATCTAACTACTTAAACTCCATGCCTCAGTTGCCTCATCCTTAAAATAAGGATAATCATAGCACCTACCTCATGAGGTTGCTGAGCAGACTGAATGAATTAATCTATGTAAAGCATTAATGAGGTCTGATACTCTTATAATTACTTGTCTCAATTTTTCCCTCACTACCACTATGTGGCAAGCCGACAGGCTAGAGGACTCATTGATGGTACTCTAGTTAGAAGCTTTATGATGTGCATTCTGCAAGTGTTACACTCAGATGGTGCAGTTCTCCCGTATTGTGCCTAAATGGTCTGGTTTTACATAGGTGTCGCCTACGTTGCTAGCCCCTTGAAAAGCAACACCTGAACCATAACTTGTTAAAGAACTTGGATGGCTTGGGTTTGTGTGGCCCAAGGATAGGGTCTATACTACTAGTCGATGTGTGGTTTGTGAGGCAGGATTTGTGAGGCAGAGCTCGAGAGTTAAAGAAAGACACAATGATCCAACCTCAGTAAGAAAAGAAAATTCATAGGGAAGGAGCAAAACCACCGTTAAGAACTGACTGGAAATACGACTCAACTCTAAAAGCACTGCTCTTCTCCATGTTGTTGGCACAGACCCACTTCTGGTGAAAGCTTTAATCACTGGCCAAAGCTCTCGCTGAGAGGGCAGAAACTTCCTCTGTCTTATCTTTATCCACATTATCTATCCAGGGCCTGGAACTGAATACACACTAAATAAATATGTGCAGAATGAACAGCTGAATCAATTACAGGGTGAATGTTAAAAAAGTTTTTGAAGACTTCAAGGAAAGGTTTGTACTCCTGGTATTGTAGGGCAGTGCTGAGCTCCAGCATCTCTTTCTCAAAGCATAGTTCACATAGAAGTCAGCATAGAAATCCATCAAGTGATTTTTGGGATCCACTTTGACTGGAAAGCCATGGGAAATGCCCAAAGAGGCCTATGGGCTTCCCGGACAAAGAAACTGTCCCTTTCACTAGTTCTTCCTACATAACCACTTCTCGGAATGCTTCAACATAAGGTATATTTTGATCTCTAAAATGGAAATTAATACTAATTCTGGCTTCCGTCCTTCAAACTTCCTTCCCCCTTGTGCTTCCTTTTCAAAATCAGAGAAATGTTCTACATAATGTATGGAACCTTGATTTTCTTGTTGGCCACTCCCAGCGATAATTTTTGCTTTTCTCCCATGTACATATAGCACCTTCCAACCTCCAGAAATATTAGTGAAGGACTTGAATTTCCTAGCTTCTCCCCATTACTTTCAACCTTTAGGAATATGGTAAAAGCCTTGTTTCACCCACCGCCCACGCTATGATGTGTAGAGCCCTGTGGATTCCCTCCAGGGAATCCTCCTATCCTGAAGGGCCTGCAAAGCGGGTACAAATCCTTTGCTGAATTCTTAATGGCTGAGACCAAAGAGAAGATGGTAATGGCAGGAGGTTGGGCTAGAACAGACAGCTCAAGGGTTATTTTGGGACTATAAAGAGCATCTTGAGCCAATGATGTTGGACCTTCAGGGAAATATATTAGCTACTCATTTCAGGACTCCCGTTTTCCTAGTTTTCACATTCTTTAAGTGAGGGGGAAATTTTTACTGATCATGTTTTTCTTCATTTAAAATTCTGCAGATGCCGTCAATAGGGAATTGGTTAAATTATGGTACATCCATCTCCTGATCCACTCAGACAGGTCAGTAACCTCTATTACATGCTCTCATAGCACCCTGTTTTCTCCTACTTAGACGTGTAACTATATTTTCATTTTTATGATTATTTAATATCTGTCTCCTCCACTAGACTATAAGCCCAATGAAGGCAGTGACCATGAGGGCAGGCATTGTGTGCCCATGCTTGGTATACAGCAGATGTTTAATATTTAAATGTATAATAAATACATACAATAGAATATTATGCAGCCATTTTAAAGTATGATAATGTGAAATTGTTTATTGACATGTAAAGTTGTCCATAATACAACGTTAAATTAAAAACAACAAATTATAAAATAGTAGCTATAGTATGAGCTCAGTTTTATAAAAAGAATAGCTATGTATACAGATACATTGATCAAAACGTTAATAGTGGTAGGATTACAGAAGATTTTCTTTTCTTTGTAACTCTCTGTATTATCTGAAATTTAAAAATAATAACATTCATTTGATCCATTATTTTCTAATTTAAACACTATTTCCATTTTGAAAACAATCAAGCAGATATTAAAACACATTTTTTTCTGTCATAAAACTTCACTTGTACATACAGTTTTCAATTAGACAATATTAGAAACAACCTAGATTTCTATATGCAAATCAAAATGTTGGATTATATTAATCTCGATGCTATTTCTGATTAAAGTGGGCCTCTAACAAAATGATCATGATGATACCTTCATTTCTGTATAAAATTTATTATTTTATTTTAATGTCCATAATTACTGATTAGACTCCTCTCTTTCCTCTTATTCACATTCCTACTCAGGATATGGAGAATGGAATAGACCTTAATTTCTTCTCCTCTCCTATTTTTTAGCTTACAACCAAGAAAGTTAAAAGGCAGTGGACTTTTGAATGTAAAACAGAATATAAGTCAGTGGCTGCTACATTTAAAGTACCTTCCTTACTTGAAGCAAGTTTGCAAAGGTGAAGTTTTTTTCCCAACAAGACACCAAAACATTACCAAAATTCTAAAAGTATATCCATTTTAAACAAATGCCTTTAATAGCCTTATTGGTTATAAAACTATAATTGGGCATTTCTAAGATCTGCTTACAATTTTCCCTTTTAAAAGATATTAATTTATATAAATAAGACATTTACAGATGATAATCTCTACAGAGCCACATACTCCTGGATATCTTAAAAGGTAAAGTAATTGCACTTATTTTATACAACAATTAGCATTATTGTGGGGAAATAGAAAATATTTTTGTATGTAAACTCCTTTTCCCAACTAAGTGTAATTGAAAAGTTTCATTAAGAGTCAATTTAAAATAAAAAAAGGAAGAAAGAAAAAAATAGGGCAAATACTGTATATGGCCATCTGTCTTTTAGTAATATTAATTTGGTTGTTCTTGCCAGTTTCAATCCTTTGACACAAAGACCTCAGCACCATATTAAGAAGTCAAACTATGACCTATAAAATGCGACAGCTCCAGGAGACCTATTCCACCATTACTCATTTTCAGTAAAAAAAATCTGACAGAATAGTGATAAATATTATGCCTTAAAACCTTAATTATACAATACAAATCATTTATAATACAAACTGTAATGAAGAGCACGTGCTGGCACAGCTAGGCTCTACATATTCTTTGGAAGCTCAAAAAGCTCAAGGATGTCTTATCAATCATCATTTCAGATCTAGTAGCATAAAAGCTGGGTTTTCTAAGTAGGATTTCCACAAATTAGAGAAGCGTGACATTGTAGCACCATCAATAATTCTGTGATCAGCTGACCAGCTCACATTCATTATCTGTGCCTTATATACTTCTCCTTTCTCGTTAAATCGGGGAAGGGCCTAGAAATAAGGAAAAGAACCAAGAGTCAACCTTCACTTGCTCAAAGCACAAGCTCTAGCAATAGCAATGGTGAAAGATTAGGTAAATCCCCCTCCCAATAATAGAGAGGAGGTGGGCATCCCGAATGACTTTCGAAAACACCAGCTCCTACTTTTCCATCTTTGTGAGTACGTGCTTCAAGCTTTCAGTTTCTCCAAGGTATTTCCTATCCCCTGTACAATTTCCACACAGAACAGTAAATTTCATCTCAGATTTCAGTTATTTAACAAATGTTTATTGCGCACCTACCACGTATCAGGTATATTCTAGATTCTGGGGATGAAGCAGTGAACAAAACAAGTAACAATCCTTGCCCTCTTGTAGCTAATATTTTAATGGGGAGAGACAGACAGTTAAGATAAATAAGTAAAGTATACAGTGTGTTAGATAGTAAAAAGTGCATAGGCAAAAATGAAGTTGTTTGGAAAGGGGCTAGAGAGTGTGGGCAGAGTGTGGAAGTGGAGGAGAGGTGGCATGTTTCTGACAGGGTAGGCACGGACAGCCTCACCAAGAAGGCTCCTCACGGAAGGCAGTGAGGAAACAAGCCAGATGGACACCTGGAGACAGAGACAGAGGGGACGCGTGACTGGAGTGTTGGAGGACCAGCAAAGGAGGCAGGGCGGCTGCAGCAGTGGGGGAGGGGTGTGGTGGGCGGTGAGGCTACAGATGGAGCAGGGTGAAGGTGGGGCATGTTGTTAAGGGCAATAGTTCTCAATCCATCTTTGGTAAAGGATCTATTTTTTTTTTTTCAAATTTCTAATCCACTGCAGGCTGTTTTTAAAAAAAATAGTAAAAGTGAAGTACTTAAAAAATGACATAAAAAAAATATACAAAATACAAGCCCTAACTTCTTCTTATTAGATTCAATAGACATAAAAGCGCTCTGTCAAACTGCCATGAAAAGTTGCTACGCCCTACTTTCCCTTTCTGTCCTCATCTCCTCAGAACCCAGATACAACTGTCATGGCTGGACATGGGTGCCCAGTCACACCAAGCACACCAGTGTAGGGCCATGCAGGCCACCACAGCTACTTTGCCTTTGATCCTGAGTAAGATGAGAAGCCATTGGAGGTTTCTGAGCAGAACAGCTGTTCATTGAAAGGGGAAGACTTCAGCAGGAGCAGGTGTGAGTGCAGGGGGTGGTGAGGAAAGGAGCAGGAAAGTCTAGATGCCCAATTAGACATTCAAGCAGGATATAGGAGTTTGGAGTTCATAGGAGAGGTCTAGTCTGGAGATATAAACTTGGGAGTCATCAGTGTATAAATGGTATTTAAAGCCATGAGATTGGATCAGATAAAGAAAAGGGCCAGAGGGTCAGCCCTGATGGCCTAGTGGTTAAAGTTTGGCGTGCTCCACTTCAGTGGCCTGGGTTTGGCTCCTGGGCGTGGAACCACACCACTTGTCTGTCAGTAGCCATGCTGTGGCAGCAGCTCACATAGAAGAACTAGAAGGACTTAGAACTAGAATATACGACTATGTACTGGGGCTTTGGGGAAGGAAAAAAAAGAGGAAGATTGGCAACAGGGCAACACGTTAGCTCAGGACAAATCTTTCCCAGCCAAAAAAAAGAAAAGGGCCAGAGTGAGCCCTGGGATATCCCAACGTTTAGAGATTGGGAGATTAGGAGGTACAGGCAAAGGAGACTCAGAGGGAATAGACAGTAGGTAGGAGGAAAGCCAGAAAAACAAGGTATCCTATAAGTCAAAGTGAAGAGTGTTTTCCAAAGAGGTGGGATTAATCAACTGTCTCTAGTGTAGCTAATAGGTCAAGGAAGATAAGGACTGAGAATTGAGTAACATGGAGGTTCTAGTAACTTAAACCATTTAGCAACAAGGAGTTTAAAATTTACAGAGAAAATAGCAAAGGGGAGATGACACAAAGGGAGAAAGGAATTAAATACTATTTGCCGTTACCCAATGAAGATTAGTTACATGAAGTCACTGTGAAGATTTATATTCTAAGAAATATGCTCATAGCTTGAAGAAACCATGGGTAAAATGATTCTGTAAAAATACATCTATCAAACAGATATTTGTACACCAATGTTCATAGCATTATTCATATTAGCCAAAAAATGGAAACAACCCAAATATTCATTACTGATGAATAGATCAACAAAATGTGTTATATACAGAGAGTTTCAGTTTGGGATGATGGAAAAGTTCTGGAGATGGATGGTGGTGATGGATGCAAACAATGTGAATGTACCTAATGCAGCTGAACTGCACACTTAAATGGTAAAGTGTGTTAAAATGGTAAATTTATTTTATATATATTTTACCACAATTATATACTTATACATACAATTCAGAAGAAAATAAATCTCTTTAAGGAAAAAGAAAAACAAAACTTCGTCACACAGGCACGATGGTTTGGAAACTAGAAAGTCAGAATTTTGTGAGTATCAAATGTTAAATTCTTACTGGGAGGAAAATGAGCGATAGAAATGTTATCATTCAGAGAAACTCCTGACGGAAAGAACAGTGTCATGCTATGTGTTTTTGTTCTTTTCTCCCTATCTGTGTGCCAAAGGGAAAAGTAGATTCTAGGAAGAGGGAGTAACTTAGCAGCTAACATACAGTCTGCTAGAAAGCAAATCAATGGCTGAATGAAAGTATCTGTGAAGGTTTTGGATGAAAGTAATAAACTTAAGAAAGACATGTGGAAGCATTATAAATATAGAATGGAAGAAAGGTTCTTTTGCAAACATGAAGACCAAAATCAAGGTTAATTTAATAATAGTGGTATTGAAATGGTTCTAGGACCTTACTGTTTTAACTCTGGTGGTTCTCAACCCTGAGTTAATAGGGATGCCCAAGCCTCATCCCCTCTAAATTCTGATTCAGTTGGTATGCGGTGAGCTTGGACATTTCTTTTCAAGTAACCCAGATGATTCTCACACATAGCCAGAGTTAAGAATCATTGCAACCCTTATTTTAAGTCACTGTCTCCTACACATGGCCACATATCACCTGTGTTGGAACCACCTGGGTTCTTGTTTAAAATGCAAGTTCTGAGGGCTCTGTTCTCAAGGCCAAGAAATCTACATTTTAAACTAGCACTCCCAATAATTCTTGAGCAGAGTAAAGTGAGAAAAAATGCCCTAAATAGAGTCTTACTGTGCTATAAATAATAATTTGGATTGGCGTACTATTATTCTTTGGTTTCTGAAATAAAGATATTTTGATAGAAGCAGATTGGCTATATTTGTGATTATACATAAAGACTCACACATTTGCCTGACATAACCCACAATGATTGATCTACAGAAACAATCCAGATCACCACCATTTCATACACATAGAGGGAGCCACCAGAATTGCAGGGCTAGTTTTCAGGAAGAAATAATTGGCTTACTGAGCCAACATCACACTCAAACCTAAAAAGCAAGGGGAAAACTCAGAAATGGTTACTCTTCTTTGTGTTTACTCTCCTGATCTGCTTAAACTCTGTTTTCAATTTGTTAATATATATACCTTAATTGATCCAAGAGCCCCAATTGCTACTTCGGGTGGCACTATCATTGGTTTGGCATAGGTACCACCAATCTAAAAAAAAAAAAAGAAAGGAAGAGTGGAAAAATTAAACTTTTCAGGGACAAATGGCAAATGAAATTTTATATTTTTAAATATGACCAGAAATTTTAAGTTATGGTTTATGAATTTAAACATTACTATTACTCACTGATCCAATGTTGGAAAGAGTAAACGTTCCTCCTGTGAGATCAGTGGTACCGAGCTGACCCGCGGAGCCCAATTTCTGGAGGCGGTTCAATTCAGCGGCGATCTCAAATACAGAACAGATCTGAACATTTTTCACATTAGGGACGATCAACCCCTGTTCAGTATCCATTGCTATCCCAATGTTATGAGAAGCCTAAAAAAAAAAAAAAACGGTAGGCCTTTTCATAAGCTAACAGGAAAGAAAGGACCAACCTTCACTGTCTTACAGATATAATTACCAAAAACTATTTCACTAGATTGGTGATGACTTATAAGAAATAATTTTTAAAAGATTTTTTTTGAAAAATATAATTTTTTTTGGTAAGAACAGAGGGCAACAGGCTATTTCCATACAGTGTTATTGGAAATGTAAGCTGCTATAGACTTTCTGGAGAACATTTAACAATATATACCAACATTTAAAAATTTGCGCTAAGGAGATAAATACAGAAATATGTAGAGATACGCAGGGATGTTGAGTTCAGATTGTCTGTAAGTTTAAGAAACTGCAAACAATCAAAACATTTATCAATAGCTCATGGCTAAATAAATGATAACAAAGCTATATTTATTGACATGTAATGATGTCCATAATATATTAAGTGAAAAAGAAAAAAGTTAAAAGAAAAATTTTTTATAACGTTAAAAGTTAAATAAAACAATATGTATAATTCCATATATTTTTAAAAAATAAAACGCTGAAAGGATGCATATTTCAACACAACAGTGAGTTATCTTAGGGGGTCGTGGGATTGAAGGTACACATTATTTTTTTCTTGTCTGAATTTTCTACAAGTATATACTTAATTATGAAATTGTATTAATCATATGTGAAGATTTTAGATTTGACCCCTCAGAATTAGCATATCTAAGCTCACTTTCTGCTTATATATTTCTAGTGAAAAATATAATTAAGGATTAGCATCTCCAAGAGTTTTCAGTCTTAACAAACTGTCACTCCAAACAGAAGAATTCACTCAAATGGAATTCAAACTTTATTACTCTTCTCATTTAGATTATTCTTGTTTTAAAAACTGCAGGGATTCCTTTTTGAGAGGGGTTATTCTTTTTGAGGGAAGGGTATGTAGGATGGGTAACATATTCCATTGCCTCACAGGCATATATTTTCATTATTTTAAGCAGAAAATCAAAAGGGCTTAAAAATGGCAATCTGCATATCTGAACAGTATCATCATTAACCAGAAAAACCAACAACAATAACAACAAATTATACTTCAGTTTAATGTTTTATCCCATACCTTTAATTCTAGCCTAAAAAAGATCACTATTTGAGGTACAACAGAAGCTTCTCTAACCGACAAGCACATTTGCACCATCTTCTATTTATAACGAGAACATTTTCACAACACATAGCCAACCTTATATGTTATGTTCTGGCAGTTTTCATCCACAGAAGCATTAAGGATAGGAAACTGTAGTAATCCCAAGGAAGCAGCCTGTTTAACACAAAGAGAATGCAACTTGAGCACATCTAACTCAGAAAGGATAGGGGATTCGAAGCAATAAGAAGAGGCGTAAAGGAGGGAGAAAGAGAACTCTTATTTACGCTGAGTTTAACTTCAAGTCTACATGTACTTAGGCACCTTACTCCCACTGTTACCTTCAAGAAATGTGGAACTAGATCACCCTGATCACTTAAGAATAAAAGATAAAGTAGTCAGGTAGCTTGAAGATTTTCAAATTAACTATACAGACTGACCAAAGTACCAAAGAAAATGTGTGAATTATAAGTGATTCCTCACTTACATGTAGAGTCTTAAGATTTCCATGAGAAATCAATCTGTACTTCAAAAAGGCAGTAAGCTATTTCCCTGTGTGAAGAGAGCAAGAGAGAAACATTTCCAAGTGCACTGACCATCCGAGGCCAGTATTTCGCTGGTGTCTCAGCCAAGTGAGGGCAGCGCTGGCGTGAACATTTACTTTAGAGCCTGTCTCCCTGATCGATCACATTTGTCTTCCCACACTGCCTCCTTCTCCATTAATCGCTCTCCTTTTTTCCTTTTTTCTCTTCTTAATACCATTACTCTTCTGTCCATATTCAAATTTTCCTAACTGTCCCCAAAATATTCTTTATAGCTGTTTCTCTGCCCATCCAGGATCTAATCAAGGTTCACATATTGCATTTGGTTCTTATGCCTTGTATTAAATTTAAAAAATGGAAAAATAAAAATGCTTAAGATTGTCCTTAAAAAGAATTCCCTCCCTCACTGCTCTCATCTAGTCTAATTAAGAGTCTTTATATGCATTGTGTTAAGTGTTATATTTGTCTGTGTGTCAGTGGTCTTAACAGAAAAAAAAATCATAGCCTTGAACTAGAGAGTTAGAAAAGTTTTATCAAGCATTAGATTTGATAACTGTAACTTTAATCTTCTTTATATAAAAATCAATAGCTAAGGTTAGAGTGTTACACATAAAAACAGTATTTTGAATATAATCCAAATTTTTTAAAAAGAAAACAAAACAAAACAAGGTGTGTGCCCATAGATTACAGGTCATTTTTTCCCCTGTACAATACTTTTTAGTATTTTCCAAATGTTCCAAAACTTACATAGGCAGAAAAAAACATTATTTTAAGGCAAATAAAGCATATTAAATTTTATTTTCAAAATAAAGATTTGGGGCTGGCCCAGTGACGTAGTGGTTAAGTTGGTGCGCTCCACTTCAGCGGCCTGGAGTTCGCAGGTTTGGATCCCGGGCATGGACCTATGCACTGCTCATCAAGCCATGCTGTGGCAGGTGTCCCACGTGTAAAATAGAGAAAGATGGGCACGGATGTTAGCTCAGGGCCAATCTTCCTGAGGAAAAAGAGGAGGATTGGCAACGGATGTTAGCTCAGGGCTAATCTTCCTCACAAAAATAAGTAAATAAATAAATAAAGATTCGATATTTCATTCAGATTGGAACAATGAAGAAAAATATTAATAAAACAAGTTCAATATCTTAAGAGCTGGTCTATCTTTGCTTTAAAACAGACTTGTCACCAGGAAGCAGTGAGAAGAACCCAGTCCGAAATACAGAGATAGTATTCTCTTGCTCTTCAGGGTTAACTTCTCCACCAGGGTCTTCCTCTTGTTCTTCCCCCAATGCCAGGGCCTTGCTCCAGCAATTCTTCCCATTCACATATTTTTAACTTTCCATCCTCTAGTTCCTTCTCTCAGCCTACAAATCTGCTCAATTTTTCCTTGAGGATGTGCAGGAGGACAGGGGGCAGGTGGAGCCTTTCCTCAATCTCCCCCAAACAATCACCTTAATCACCCCCGTACCTGTACCCTATCCGCCTTTTATGAGATTATTTTAGTGTCTCCTCTTCCTCAATTTCTATTCATTCCCCAACCAACTGCAACCGAGTTTCTACCCCAAAAATACTTCATTCAATCAGTTCTGGCTAAGGCAGCTCATGACCTCTGAATTACTAATCCAATAGCCTGTTCCCATCCCTTATCTTAGTCAATCTCTGTGACGTTTATGACCGTTATCTACTCCCCTCTTAAAACTTTCTTCTTCTCTCTTGGTGTGAGAGGCTGAATCAATGGCCCCAGTCTTTCATGCCTCTCCGCATCCACGCTCTCAGCGAGCTAACGCTGAGCTTAGTCATGTGACTTGCTTTGGTCAATGAGTTAAGAACAAATTCGATGCAGCAGAGCTTGGAAAAAGTACTTAAAATCTGCTTCTTCTCTTCATCCGTGCCAGTACTGTGAGACCGCATGTAGGCTAGTATACTGGGGAGATGAGAGAGACATACGGAAGAGAAATGAGTCATCCTTGCCAAGGCCGTCCTACAACAGCCGGCCCCTAGCCAACCTAGTAGCTGTAGGTTGAGTAGACATGAGTGAGTTCTGCCAAGAGCAGCAGACTGGTTCTGCTCACCTGTAGACTCATGAAAAATAATAAATGACTGTTGTTTCAAACCATTAAATTTGGGGATGGTTTATTATATAGCAATAGATACACTTGGCTTCTAAGTAACTCTTTCCTGGTTCTATTGTCAAACTACTGACCCCACTCACCTCTTCCATTGTCTTTGCCCACTCAACTTCTACCTACCTAGTGATGTAAAACCCTCAGCCTTCTTTTCTTCTCATTCACACACAATTTGGGTGCTCTCATCCATGTGTTTCAATTGCCATGTCTCTACAGATGACTCTCTATAGCTGTAATATAGTCCAGATGTCTCATTTATTGACATCTATTATATCTCATGTTTATACAGCACCACTTACTTGTCAGGCAGTTGCTAAAAAGATGGAGAAAAAGGAGAACAGTTTCTGCCTTATGAGGCTCAGCGTCCAGTGAAGAGACAATCAAGTAAACACTTGCAATACAGAGACAAATTGCCATGGGAGACAAAGGGGTATTTAACTCCAAGTCTGACAGCCACAGAAGGCTTCCGGAGGAGGCTATCCCTGAACGAAATTTGGTATTTAGGATGTACACGTATTTGATCAAGGGAGGAGGGGGCACTTCAGGTGGAGTTGTGCGTTCCAGCAACTATGCATAGCTTAAGCTGACTAACACAGAGGAAGTGACTGTGGGAGAGAGAAGACCAGGGAAGCAGGCAGCAGAGACTCCTGGTAATATTTCTATGCCACACTAAGGAGTTTAGAAACTATCCTGAAGGTAAAGAAGGAGAACCACTGAAAAGAGGCAGGGAATAATATAATAATTTGACTTATGGAAGATCAATCTTGGTGCAGTATGGTAAAGGGCTGGTGGGAAGCCACACTGGAGTTGGAGACAACAGTATGCATTTCTGAGTAAAACAGACCAGAACCTGAAACTTAGCTTCCTCACTTGGAGCTATAAATCCTTGACAAGTTTCTCAACTTCTCTGAGCTGCAATTGCCTTAAATGGAAAGTGGGTGTAGCAATATTTACACGTCAGGGTTATTCTGAGAATTAAAAATGATCACATATGCAGCGTACTTCATACGAGGTCTGGCTCATGGTAGCTGCTTCAAAAATGGTGGTTAATGGGAGCTAGACTGTGAGCTGCTCAAGGTCAGCCGATGGTCTTATTCCATTTTTTACTGGTCCCAAGGCCTAGTACTAGAAATGATTCCCAGAAGCCTCCATATGTTTGCTGAATAAATGAAAGTAAATACATGTCAGTGATATACAAGATCAATACTAAGTCTCACTTTTGTTCAAATTAGGACCTTGCTGGAGTGGCGCTTTCAGAATTATAGGCTTTACCTAAATAGTAGGACAATCTTTACCTAGCTCAAAGAGATAAGCAGATAAAAATAGGACACAGAAATTTCAATTTTATAAATTCCTATGAAACAAAGAGTGTACTTGTATATTTTTCTATGTGATATGATAAGTAATATTTTTATTCAAACCTATAGTTAACACATTGCATATTTGCAAAACAAAATTTAAGTGTCCTACTCAAGACTTGTTTGAAATGAATGAAATCTTACCTTTAAGAAGAAAGGCATAAAGGAGAGTTTAACTCCACGAGCAAAAGCAATGGGTTTTAATTCTTCTCGCAGCTTAACCAACTCAGTAAGGTCAACCTCATCACAATACCCAAAGTGAGGTATCTTCAGGGTTGCAGACATAGTCTTGACCATTGCTTTGTGAAAGCCTGGAAAACAATAAACATATATATATTTTAAAATTCTTAAATCCTTTAATTCTTTTTTTTTACTAAAATAGAAGGTTCTCTAATGTTGTTTACTCTCAACTAAACTCTTCCTCTTGGAGCTACCATCTTCATTACATAACTTGAAAGCCACTAATCTCATTGACTGCAGCACCACGCCCAGTATCAAGTGTAATAATATAACAGGTAACCACTTTCAATGCTGTGATGTATAAAAAATTCAAAAGGATGCAAAACATGTATTTCTCTAACGGTTTTCTTGCAAGGTTACTCTTCTGGAAGTTAATCATCTTAAGGGTTTATAAATAACAAATGAGAAGTAGTTGTTTCGAAAGCCAACTAAAAATAATGAATATTTAAAATATCCTGAGTGAGTCTTCAAACAGAACAATTATCCATATACAAGTTTATATTCCAAGAAACCTGCTAACATTACTCTTCAGAAATTAACAGTATCAACTGAAGCTTTTCCTGGAAAAAATGTTATTTCATCACTAAAAAAAATTATATGCTGAATATGAACTTTCCCTTCAGTAAGAATTAAAAACACCATATTATATACATGAATCTATAGAAGTAGCTTCCCCCAAATAAATTATACCATTACCTTACATTACTGTTATCATTACCTTTTATGGGTTCTGTTCTGTCTTGGCCTGTGAAGACTGGAGGTTTTGATATTGGTATAGGTATAGTCCTGTCTTGCGGTTTCGGTGGAGGCGGCATAATTTCAGCTTTGGGTGAAGGAGGTAATATAGCTCCTGTCTGCTTTTCCAAAAAGTTGAGAATATCTTCTTTAAGTATTCTGCCATCTTTTCCTGAGCCAACAACTTCACTCAGCTTAATCTAAAAAAAATGACACATTTTAATGCTAAAAATACAACTACCTAAAAATTAAATAAACCCGTCACTAAGGTCTCTAAATGGAATTTAATGAATTGAAGGTAAAAAAGTACCTCTGCCCAACAAATCAGTATAAATTTTCATTATCTTAACAGAATGCTATAAACTATAGCTACCCTTCGTAAGTAATCATTGGTTCCTTTTGTACCTACTGTTCATTTACCCATGTGGTAACAATGCAGTATCTCCATTGTAGATAATCCATAGCTGTTTATGAAAACTTACATTTTTAAACAGTCAACTATTTTTAAATTTCTTGCATAATTCTTATTTGATTTTTTCTATTTTTGGAGACTACATAAGAAGAAGGAGAACTGAGAGTTTAAAGAGTTAGACACTACAACAAATGTAGACCAATGTTTCTGACCTTGGCTACCAGTAAACATATAATAGTTAAAATAAAGCTCTCTCAAATTAGTTTTTTTCTGATGGTTGTTTTAGAAAGATCAGTACAAAACATTGAAATTAATTTTACTGAGGCGTTGTATTTGGAACATGAGTTCCTCAGCCCAAGTTAAGGATCAAATACATAAGTTTTATTATTGCTTTCTATAGAATAAACAATAGATGATATAATTCCACATTCTACTAGACACACATGATACTTTTTGAAACATATGTGATCTGGCTTTACTCAATCATTTTCTATGTTTGGTTACAGAGATAAAATATTCTCACTAAATTTAATTCTATTTAAATAAAAAGACACAAAAGCTTGGATGATATCTTCATACATAGTGTATATTAGTTAATTTCTCAGGGTTACGTAACTGCTTCATTTGTATTAGTGCTTCTCTAAGGATGACTTTAAAAGAATAAAGGACTTTATCACGTCAAACATTTAGTTTATAACAAATGAACTCTGAGAATTTAAACAAATAATTTTTAAGTAATTACAAACAACTGTAAATGTCATTGGTTTTTAATTTTAAGCAAACAATTCATAAATATGTAAACTGCAAAAAAAAAGAAAAAAGAAAAGGTGATTTACAATAATAGATCTACTATTTAATTTCTAGCAATTATGCAAATAATCTAGTTATTATACACATCCTTAGGAAGTGGTAAAGGAAAGCCGAATTATGTATTTCTACAGGTAGTCCTTCTATATAATTAAGAAAAAACATTGGTAAAATGCTTCATAGCTTTCAAAGCAATATATAAGATCATTATTTCATCTGATGCCCTTAACAATCTAGTGTTCCATACTATTATTTCTATTTTCTATTATGCTAAATGAGCTTCATATTTCAACACATTTAATGGCTAATAAATTTTCTTTAAGGGTTTATAACATAATTTACCTAAGCATATCCCTGATTTTGAACACATGTGCCCTCTGATTTTTGGCTATATAAAACACTTGCAAGAATGTATCCTAGATTATTTCCTGGGGATAGCTCCTCATTGGTAGGATAACTGGCTGAAGGGATATGAACATTTTAATGACGCTTATCACATATTTCCAAAATGTAAACTTTTGTTTTTCCCACTGTAACTTAACTACTTCTCTCAAAAACAGACAAACAAACAAAAAATGTGCATTGTGAGGCACAGTGGAAAGAACTCAGGCTTTGGAACCAGAAGGTTTATGTTCAAATCCCCAGTTCAGCTACTTACTTGATTTTAGGCAACTTAATCTATTTCTCTGCTCTTTTTCGTCTGCAAAATGGGGATAATCCAAACCATCTTGCAGGGTTACTGTGAGGATCAGAGATAATGTGTGCACAGCGTCTGGCTCATAAGTGCTCAAATAATGGAGGCAATATTGTTGAGGCAGTAGATAATGATGAAGAGCACTGATTTTAGAGTAATAGAGACTCACTTCAGAATCCTGGCTCCACCACTACGTTTGCTGTGTGAACTCGGACCAGTTACTCGACCTCTGTAAATCTTAGAATAGCCCCATTATTTTACAGAGTTGTGAAGACTAAATGAGATAATATGTAAATACTTATCACAGTGCCTGAGAGCCACCTTGCCTTGGAGGTTAAGCAGCAGTGACTGGCTGATAAGAGGGAATACAAAAGGTTAGGCTCCTTGTTTCAAGTCAGCACAATTTCATGTTTCTCCTCATCTCCCTGGGATCCTCGAGACCACATCCTTGCCTGGCCCATTTCCCTCTCTTCCCTTCCCTATACAGCCTCCCTCCTTCCCAGTAAAGGTGTTCACTCTCTCCATCAATCAATCAATCAATCAATCAATCAATCACATGTACCCAAGTCCCTGTCTCAAGCTGTGCTTCTAGGGTACCTGATCTAAGACACTAGTATTTACAAGTGCTCAATAAATGGTAGCCCTGACAGTTATTAAGCTCTAAGAAAGAATAATAAAAGCACACTCCTCAATTAATATAAGTTATAAGTTCACAATTTTCTTCTCATTTCTCACGAGTACTTTTATGCAACTCTCACTTTTTAGTAATAGACATTTTCATGTTTTCTTTCTTTCTTTTTTTTTTTGCGAGGTAGATCAGCCCTGAGCTAACATTCCATGCCAATCCTCCTCTTTTTGCTGAGGAAGATTAGCCCTGGGCTAACACCCGTGCCCATCTTCCTCTACTTTATATGGGACGCCACCACAGCATGGCTTGACAAGTGGTGCATCGGTGCATGCCCGGGATTCAAACCTGCAAACCCTCGGGCCGCCAAAGCACTTAACCGCTGTGCCATCAGGCTGGCCCCTCCTGTTTTCTTTAATCCTCTCTTGGGCCATCTCACCTTGGATAATTGGCTGATTTTTCATAGATACAAATATATACCCTCTATGTGATCTCGCACTTAAATATTAAGAAACTTACATTGTTTTCCATTGCAAGGCGGCGAACTGCAGGAGTTGCCAGTGTTTTTTGGCCCTTTATCTCTTGGTGCGTGTGTTCGTCATGGGACACAGCAGGAGTTTCAACAACATCTTCTTCCGAATCTGGTAACAAGGTAAAATTTTATTCTTTAGTTGAAAATGTTTTAAAAACAAGTTTAGCGGCTTATAATATATAAATAAGTCCAACTTAAAGTTTATAGTTAACAAGCATAAGAGTTGGGCTACTTCAGAATGGGAAAACACAACTTCAGAATGGGAAATCAAATGGGTAGAATGTGTGCGCGGTGGAGGGTATTGATACCTCGTACTGTTTAATGATTATTATTAGCTGATGTTTACTTCATTTCTGTTAAAATCATGTAGCAGCTGCAAGTCAAAAAATGAGAGCTTTTTCTATAAATTTTAAAACATGTTGTGTTTTAAACACTTTCCTAATGAATTTCTCATTTATATTTATAAATAGCAGAAGAATCAAATGTGAGGTAAATTACATGAAAGAATCATGTAAAACCTGTGACAATCTTAAACACTCTCCTAAGATAATGTAGCATTTAAAACTTTTCTCTGCTTTAAGTATGGCTTAAGCAATGCTGTGGAAGATTTTATTTTCATGGCTAATGCTCATTTGATTTTTCTATTCTCTAACTCTAGAGTACTGATAAAAGAAAAACTATCTTGGGCTATTAGCATGTATTTTTGCAACCAAAAAAAAAAAAGTTTTTGAGAGCATCTAATTGTCAAAGTCTGATGCTAGGAAATCAATGCTGTAGAGCAGAAGCTCTGTGGGAATTAGCAAATTAGAGACTAAACTTCTGAAAATCAGCAGGCAACTGAGTTTGCTGGGACATTCAATTCTAAGCAAATAAAAATTTTCCAGTGCCGCAACTATGGAAAGACAGTCTATTCTCCTCCTCACTACTCTATGAATTGGCCCAGTGAAGCTCTCGAAGTTCCCCCAAGCGTGAGGAGGGGAAGAAAACAAAAACTTGTATTGAGCATGAAGGGTAGCAGAATATGTCACCTCAAAATATGACTGTAGGAGTTCAGGACACGCCACCCCAAAATATGCTACTTTGGTATACTGATTATTTTGAGCTGTAGGCGCTTGGAAAAACAGGAAACGCAGGAAGAAGCTTTCTCTGAACTCCCCCTTATTGCCTAAAGACAGATGTTTCAAAAGGAAATGGTCATAAATCCACTACCCAGGAGCATCATCACCAGGGAAGATTGATTCTTAGCACAGAAGAGGAGACTAGAAGTCAGCACCACACCCAGATGAACTTTGTCACAAGATATCCCACCTTCCATCTGTTCTAAGGGCCCGTTCATCGTCCCTAAAAATCACTTGCTCTCCTCTAAGAGGCCTACATCCCCTACCCTCCTTTCCCTATGAAGATGATATTTAAGCCTGAATTTGAAAGCCACCTCTCTGAGTTACTCATTTTTCCCTGGGTGTCTCCCATGTATACATTAGAGAGATATGTTAATAAACTTCTGTTTTTCTCTTGTTAATCTGTCTTTTATTACAGAGGTCTCAGCTAAGAACTCAGAGGGTAAAGGGAAAATTATTTTTCCTCCCCTAGAAGTACCTATTATATGTCAAATACTGTGCTACATATGCAATATCTTAATTTTCACTCCAACTGTGAAAGATAGGTGTTACTATCCCCATTTTATAGATTAAAAAATGCGAGACTTGAGAGATGAAGGGATCGGCCAAAAGTCACACACCTAATAAACTGTGAAGAGCTGGGATTCAACCCTAGCGCTGACTTAGTCTGTGCTGTTTCCATTAGTCCACGACCCTAGTAAGTTTTCTTTCTGGTCAAATAAACTGGAATACAACGCCTCTAGTTCAAGGCATAGTTTTGTTGGACTTTGAAAATCCCTGTGTATTATCTATATCTGATAAAGTTATGGGAGAAACTAGTAAGAAAGATTAACATTAGGAACTAATGTTAATCAAACCAAAGAAATCAAGAGGATTCAATTGCAGGAACCCCAAATACTGATTTGAATAATGCATATTTGCTGAAATAAGAGAAATTTATAAATGCCCAAGTATATCATATACAAAAGTTATTATATATTTCCAAAGGATTATGTAATTTACTGCTACCCATCTTTCTGGAAAACATTTTGATATATCACCAAGTAGTACTGCCTCTTAGAATAACTTTTGTGTAAATATAAGGGACAAAACAAACTTATTTGTGAGAAGTCACTCATATATCATTTGTAGTAGTCAAGTATTTGTTGGAAGAAAGCTCTCTTAATCAAGTAGTAAAATATCACCTTACTATATATGACTTTAAATCATTTACTAAGTGTTTTTACACATATTTTCTCCTTTGGTGATCACAACAATGTTATAAGAATGCAGGGACAATCTCTTGATTTTACCAGTGTAGAAACACTCTAAGGGGGATGAAGTTAAGACTAAACTAAAATTTCATAACTCTCCCCAACTGATGTGATTTTCATGGTTCTGGCACCATACTCTAATATGTGGGATTTTATTTCTTCAGTAGTGGATTTAGAGTACACAGTTTTAAAAGCCTTAATTAAGAGCAAAAGAACTCTGTAAGTAAGCACTTTTTCATTAAGCGGGCATTGAGAACATACAGCACTTGGCTGTAAGTAAGCACTTTTTCTCATGAAGATTGCCAATTTAGCGTTGCTGAAATTCCTCATATGAAGCAAATTTACCAAAAAACCACATTATGTGAGCTTAACTAAATAAAAGAGTAATTTGAATTAGTAAAAATATTAAACTATGAAAATGCAATATTCTTAGGAATTTCAAAAACTATTTCTAAGAACCACAGTAAATAGTTAACTACATTCATTCACTTAACAGGGGGAAATTCTTTTGGGGAAAATGTTTTGAAATATGAAAGCATTCAAGGGTGTTTGAAACAGTTTGTTTTCGTAATAAGCTTTAAACTTTTCCCCCTGCGAAACTGCTTAGGAAGACCTTTCTTCATAACACAAATGTAAACTTTAGTTTAGTGCCTGTCCAAATGATCATAAATTGAGAATTAATGACACCCAAACCAAGGAGATTTCACTTAAAATTATTGAAACAGCTAATTCAACATACAATTGGCTGTAAAAAATTAAGTTATAGCTACCATTCATTGAATGCTTACTATGCCCAGGCATTGTACTACATAATTTATATCATTGAGTGTAATTTAATTAAATGACATGCCAAGTTCTTGAATAGTTTCATGTCAAAGAGGTTTTCTTTAACTCTAAAACACTGTATTAATCCTGGAAAACATTTTAATATTATAAACTCTATAATAGCACACCTAACTTGTGTTGTTACAGCAGAATTTTGCAAATTTGCACATGTATAGTGTTAGAAATTCAATCCCAGTGTTCTAGATGCAGAATGGTGCTGATACCCATCATCTCTGAATAGAATTTTCACTGTAGCAAAGTGGTTAGGAACATGGGCTTTGGAATTAAACAGTGCTGGGGTCAAATTGTAGCTCCACCAAGGCTATGTGACCATAGGCAAGTTAGTAAACCTCCGTGAGTCTCAATGTTGCACGTGTCAAATGCAGATAATGATTTAATGAGATAATGTATAGATAGCATTAGCACAGAGAAAGCATTCAATCAATGATAGACGTTGATGTTAAAGGGTAAATGCAATATAATGGCAGAATAATACTGGTTTTATAAAGTATTCTGCTACAGCTTATGTCCCTCCCTCTCTTCCCTTAATACTTCCCCATGGCGGCAAGACTCCTCAATTAGACGTAATTAGGTATAGTAACTCTCTACTTATCTGGTGGTCAAACATTCTGGCAACTTAATCTTGCAGACAGTTTCAGGCCCAGAATACCTAAAATAGCTGCCACACAGCTTCAGCATTAAAACCATGCACTTGCTCCAGAGGAAGGGCATTTAGACTCTCAATCAGATCCTATTTTCTCTTCGTAGCACATACTTCTTAACAAACTTGGTTATCTGTCTTCCCAGAAAGTTAGGAAGGAGAGTGATGGCCTGGCACAATGACAATGCTAAGAGGTAGGCTGAAATAAAATCAAATGCAGAATTGTTTTGTTTACAGTACAATGAATGTTCATAACGTCTTTGCATGATCAAAAAAAGTTATACTCAATATCCTCATTTTAAGAAGGAGTAAAATGTCTAAAGCTTTTTTTTAATAAAACTAATGATTCCCCTCAAATAAATGGTTTTGAAAAAAGTTTTGGTACAAAAAGTTTAGCTGTTTAGAAAAATGAAGAGTCATCTTACTTTGTTAAATAAATAGAGGCTAGAGAAAGCCAGGTTAGCTGTAAAGAGAACTCATGGCAATACACTTAAAACTCTGAGTTTACAGTAGACAACGCACTGAGACATGGAATAGTTTTGACTTAATCTTGACGATTTCAAGTAACTGGATTTCAACTTGTATTTTTTAAAACAATACATGCCTTGTAAATGTCACAGATACAAGTTAGCCTGAGTCCAGTAAGCTCTTCTCAAGCAGAGGTCTGTCTACAGTCAAATCACTCATAGAAAGGACTTGGAGGTCCCAAATAGTTTCTCTCATCAAAATTATCATGACACTCCAGCCTTGAAAAGCAGACTGCGACACCATGTTACAAAAGACAGTACCATAGAATATCATTTAAACAAACATTAGAAGACAAGATTTAATTTCCAATACTACTAATTAAGATTTCTGGTCTTGATCTCTTATATCCTTGATAGTTCTATGCTATAATTATTTTCTACCTATAAAATGGAAATAATGTATCTTATTCTTCTAAAAGACTTTTTAAGTAATTTTCTATTTATAGTATAATTGGTTTTACCAACACTAAAACAAGGAACAATATAAACAAATTCAGTATTACTAAAAAATCTTTCCCATTTCCAGGATTAAAAAGAGGCATATACAGGGGCTGGCCCTGTGGCCTAGTAGCTCAAGATCCGTGTGCTCTGCTTTGGGGGCCCAGGTTCACACGTTCAGATCCTGGGTGTGGACCTACACCACTTGTCAGTCATGCTGTGGCAGGCGACCCACATACAAAAAAGAGGAAGATTGGCAGTGGATGTTAGCTCAGGGCAAATCTTCCTCAGCAAAAAAAAAAAAAAAAAAAAAAAGGCATATATAAATTTCTCAGTAAATCAAATCTATTGTTCTATAGGCCTGCTTATTTGATACATAGTTTTATGCTTCATAGTTTATTCTTACAGTAAAAAAATTAATAAAAATTATAATAAAACATAAATATAAAAGCAAAAAGGTATACATGCAAAATAAAACTACCACACAAGATAATTGTTCAGAATGCACTCTGAATGGCAAGTGAAATAGAACAGCTAGCAAATGATCACTTCTCTATGAGGAATATTATCAGATAAATAAACTGCACATACATATAATGTAAAATTTGATAAGCTTTGAAATCTGTATATACCCATAAACCATCACTACAATCAAGACAGTGAACACATCCATCACCCCCAGAAGTTTCCTTCTTCTGGGAAGGATACCCCTTGGTAATCCCTCCTTCCCAGCATGCCCACCCCACCCCCACCCCCTCACCTGGCAACCATCAATCAGTTTTCTGTCATTACAGATTAGTTTACATTTTCTAAGATTTTATATACTACATGGAATCATATAGCATGTTCCCTTTTTTGTCTGGCTTCTTTCACTCAGCATAATTTTTCGAGATTCATCTATGTTGCACAGGAGATTAATTTTTGCGAAAAAATTCTCTAGAAAAAACACACTCCTCTCTTGAAAAAGTTCTATGATTCTGTAATTTGCTATCAAGACTTATTAAGTTGGATCTCACTTGAGATGTCAAAATAAACTCTAAAAATAAGGCCAAACAATAAAAACCCCATAAATCTCAATTATTTACCTGTTCATATAAATAATTTGCTTTTTCAGATGGCCCGAATTGGTATCTAATCTGCCTACAGCACCTGATTGGGTGTCCCAATTTAATGACATCCATAATAGTGTTCAGCATCTTTGCTTGTCTCACTTTGGCCAAGAGCGTAATCCTCTTTCCTTTCTAGGTCTTGAGTGAATCCAAAAAATGTCACTGATCCATCAAAATAACTCGGTGTTTATTTCAGGTAATTTTTAAAGGCGAATTCCTTTTTGTTTTTAATATTCCTAAATCATGCCTTTCAATAGAAATTTGGAATCAAGATACAGGAAGCACTCCTATTACCCTACATTATGGTCTTTTATCCAGTCCACACTAAAAGGAACAAAATCCCCTGAAGAAACGGATAATTTCAGATCTGAGACAGGAAAAGTACAAGGTAAGTCCCAGAATATCTTCTTGTGCCAAAAGTAAGGAAGCTTTTGAAAATTAATGGGGCCATGTTAAAAGAACAAGAGCCACCTTGAAAGGGACACTACTATTAAAAATTTGAGCATCAATAAGAATGATTATAATAGATTAAACACATTGAGTCAACTGAAATACAGATAAAGTTGGAAAAATTAATATCACCATTTGAAGGGGATATTAAAGCAACCCTTTACTTGGAGAATGGGTAAAGGGAAAGCATCAAGTATTTATTTTGTCTTTCCATTAGGAAACTGTATTTCAGAGAAACCAATGGCTGCAACTGATGAGGGGAAAGCTTCATTTTACAGAATAATGCCAGCTAATAACCTTAAAGGAATGACAGAGTCCAAAAATCGTCATTCCACAACCACTATAGCAATTATTGATTTAGGCAAAGACTTTCAAATGATATTATAAACTGCTTATATAGTGCCAAAGTAACACCACATAGATCACTTCCAGGTTGCAAAGGGGGAAAACATACTGTACAAGGGAGGGACAAGGGTATCCCTATCCTTATTCAGTGTTTAAACTTAGCATCACTGGCAGGTCACCCAGATATTATGAGTGTTCTGATGTGAAGCAGTATGAGTAACATAATATTATCCATGATGTAATCTAGCCAAAATAGTTAACTTGAACCCAGCCTTTTAAACTTACTTCCAGTTTACAGGAAATATAAGGACTAGAGGAGCAAGTTAAACACCACCATGAAGAAGCAACAGGACAAATCCAAAAGATGTGACATTCTGCAAAACAAATGGTGGTGTCTCTTCAACAAGTCAGTGTCACGAAACAAAATGTGAGGGAGGGTGAACTAGATTAAAAGAGACCAGGGGCGATATATAGCCCTATACTGGACCCTAGTTTGAACAAACCATTGAAAATTTCAAGGACATTTTGGGGGCCATTGGGGAAAGTTAAATAGGGTCTATCAGATAAAACAAAAATGTATTGTGATGAAAAATGTAAATCATTAACTAAAAAAAACAGATTAGAAAATACCAAGTACAGTATATCATTTTGGTAAAAAATACCTAAATGCAAATATACGTGCCCAGAAAAATGTCTGGAGTGATATACAACAACATGTTAAGAGCAGTGATTTCTGAGTGGTAGCAATATGTTTTTATTTTCTTACTTTTGGTTTTCTGCATTTTATAACTTTCTACAGTGCACATATCCTGCTTTTATAATAATAGAAGTTAAATAATAGGAAGGCCATATTCCAGCTTTTAGAGGCAACATGTCATAGGGGAAAATATTCTGGACAAAGACTCAGGACATCCGAATTCTAAATTTGGCTCTGTCACTGCCATTGGACAAATCACCCAACCTTTTTAGGCTAGGTTTAGTTTCTTCATCTGTTAAACTGGAATACCTCACAAGTAAGGGTAAATAAAATAATAGGTATGAAACATTTTATAAATTATAAAGTATGATTATGATATCAGTTATTATTACTATTATTGTACAGACTGCAAAACTAAGAGTCAGATAGCCACTGTAATTCATAGTCCTTCTAGACTTCTGAATTACATTACTGAAATGTCTATTTGAGCACTTCCCAAATAGACTGCTGGCTTAGGGTTGCATCACAGAACTTATGTTCCCCCAGCTCCCAATATCAAGGCTGTTTCCTAGATGACATAACCTGGTGCAGCACAACAATGCCATAAGAAACTTCTGAGGTAGAAAGCCAGCTGTTTGCCCTCACTGGAACAGCCCACTGTTTTAGTTTTCCTCTGTAACATTCTCATAATGAATTCTCTATTTCAGGACATCTACTGCTTGTAAGTTCCATAGCTGCTGCTTCTTCTGAATGCTAGTTTCTTCCCTTTTCATTCTGATTTTTTCTTTTCTCTTCTACTTCTCTTCGAGAAGTCTGGCTTTCATAACGATCACCAACAAGAGTGTTTTTGTTTTTGTATCAGTGGCAAACAGAGTAACGCCATTATGTTAGATGTAATCTCTGCATATTCTAACTTTTGTTATTAGTGACCAGTGTTGAAGGCCTGGGTCTTTAGTTCCTAAGAGAGCTTGTTGCTTCTTTGAACACTAAGGTTACCAGAAGGCGGGCCTCCAGATAAGTGAAGTATTACTGTACATGTTTTTAACATGGTAACTGGTCAAAAGATAATCATGCATCACAGAGGACCTTTTCTCTTTTCCTGACTTCAGCTTCTAAACCCCCAAATCAAACCCCCAAAGTTATTCAAAGTAAACATCACTTTTAATTGGTACTCAATGACAAAAGGACAGAAGTAATTGATTTGGCAAAATAGATGAACATATTTACGGTACCTTTTAAAGCTTCTGTTTCTATGTCTACTAATGGCTTCCCCACATAGGCAATATCGTCTAGATTATAATACAGTTTTTTAATGACTCCATCATAACGACTAGTGATGGTAACAGAAGCTTTATCACTTTGAACTTCACAGATGCTATCAAACTGAGACACTGTATCTCCTTCTTTTACATACCTAAAAGAAAAAGACATAAGATACTTTTACATGAACAATTATAAGTACAGATCACCCTAACAATGTAAATGCCACACTGAATTAGATCAGTATCCATGTAGCCCAGCATTTAGTCCCAGATGGTACACCAAAGAATGTTCCAGAAAAGACTATAATGGTTTCCAGAGTCTCTTTGATGTATCTCCAAGAAATACTAAAATTTTAAAAACCATTCATAGGTCTATAACCCAAAAATTTAATTAAACTTTCAAGTTTTTTGCCTCACCCATTTCTTTGAAGAAGTTCTAGAAGTGTATGTTAAAAGTGTTATTTCCTTTTATTGTCCTATATTAGCCTTTATCAAACTTTAGGGATGCCTATTATTCCTAGAATTAAATTTAAAAAATGGATATGAAAAGCTATATGTCAACAAATTGGATAACCTAGAAGAAATGGATAAATTCTTAAAATCATACAACCTCTCAAAAGTGAATCAAGAAGAAATACAGAATCTGACTAGACGAGTCACAAGTAAAGAGAATGAAACAGTAACCAAAAACCTGTCAAAACAAAAGTCCAGGGGCCAGCCCCAATGGCTTAGTGGTTAAGTTCAGCGCACTCCGCTTTGGCAGCCCAGGTTCGGTTCCCAGGCACAGACCTACACCACTCGTCTGTCAGTGGCCGTGCTGTGACAGTGGCTCACATACAAAATAGAGGAAAACTGGCAACAGATGTTAGCTCAGAGTGAGCCTTCCTCAGCAAAAAAAAAAAAAAAAAAGTCCAGGACCAGACAGCTTCTCTAGTGAATTCTACCAAACATTCAAAGAACATTTAATACCTGTCTCAAACTCTTCTAAAAAACTGAAGAGGATAGTATGCTTCCTAACTCATTTTAAGAGGTCAATATTACCCTGATACCAAAACCAGACAGGGACAAAAAAGGAAAATTACTGGCCAATATTGCTGATGAACATAGTTGCAGAAATCCTCAACAAAATATTAGCAAATCGACTACACCAATACATTAAAAGAATCATACAGCACAATCAAGTGGGATTTATTTCAGGGTTACAGGGACGGTTCAACATCCACCAATCAATCAATGTGATACACCAAATTAACAAAGTGAAGAATAAAAATCACGTGATCACCTCAATAGACGCAGACAAAGCACCTGACAAGATCCAACATCCACTTATGAAAAAAACTCTCAATAAATGGGTATAGAAGGAAAGTACCTCAACATAATAAAGGCCATATATGACAAACCCGCAGCCAACATCATACTCAATGATGAAAAATTGAAAGCAATTCCTCTGAGAACAGGACCAAGACAAGGATGCCCACTCTCTCCACTCTTATTCAATATAGTACTGGAAGTTTTAGCCAGAGCAATTAGACAAGAAAAAGAAATAAAAGAGATCCAAACTGGAAAAGAAGAAGGAAAACTGTCACTATTTGTGGATGACATTATTCTATATATAGAAAACCCTAAAGAATCCACCAGAAAACTATTAGAAAAAATCAATGAATACAGTAAAGTTGCAGGGTACAAAAGCAACATACAAAAATCAGCTGCATTTCTATACACTAATAATGAACTAGCAGAAAGAGAAATCAAGAATACAATCCCAGGGGCTGGCCCCGTGGCCTAGTTGTCAAGTTCGGCGCACTCTACTTCAGTAGCCCAGTTTTGGTTCCTGGGTGCAGACCTACACCACTCATCAGCGGCCATGCTGTGGTGGTGACCCACATACTAAATACAGGGAGACTGGCATAGGGCGAATCTTCCTCAAACAGAAAATAGGAAGATTGGCACAGATGTTAGCTCAGGGTGAATCTTCCTCAGCCAAAAAAAAAAAAAAAAAAGAATACAATCTCATTTACAATAGCAACAAAAAGAACAAAATACCTAGGAATAAATTTAACCAAGGAGGTAAAAGACCTATACGCTGAAAACTATAAGACACTATTGAAAGAAATTGAGGAAGACATAAGGAAATGGAAAGATATTCCATGCTCATGGACTGGAAGAATAAACATAGTCAAATGTCCATATTACCTAAAGCAATCTACAGATTCAATGCAATCCCAATCAGAATCTCAATGACATTCTTCACAGAAATAGAACAAAGGTCCTAAAATTTATATGGAACAACAAGAGATCTCGAATAGCAAAAGCAATCTTGAGAAAAAAGAACAGAGTTGGAGGTATCACACTCTCTGAATTTAAAATATACTATGAAGCTACAGTAATCCAAAAAGCATGGTACTGGCAGAAAAACAGACACATAGATCAATGGAACAGATTTGAGAGCCCAGAAATAAAACCACGCATCAATGGACAGCTAATCTTTGACAAGGGAGCCAAGAACATAAAATGGAGAAAGAAAAGTCTCTTCAATAAATGGTGGTGGGAAAACTGGACAACCACATGCAAAAGAATGAAAGTGGACCATTATCTTGCACCATACAGAAAAGTTAAATCAAAGTGGATCAACGACTTGAATGTTAAGACCTGAACCCATAAAAATCCTAGAAGAAAACATAGGCAGTATGCTCTTTGACATCAGCCTAAGCAGTATCTTTTTGAATATCATGTCTACTCGGGCAAGGGAAACAAAAGAAAACATAAACAAATGGAACTACATCAGACTAAAAAAGCTTCTGCATGGCAAAGGAAACCATCAACAAAATGAAAAGACAACCTATCAACGGGGAGAAAATATTGCAAATCATATATCCGACAAGGAGTTAATTTCCAAAATATTTAAAGAACTCATAAAACTCAACAACAACAAAATGAACAACCCAATCAAAAAATGGGCAGAGGATATGAACCCAGACATTTTTACAAAGAAGATATACAGATGGCCAACAGGCTCATGAAAAGATGTTCAACATCACAAATTATTAGGGAAATGCAAATCAAAACTACAATGAAATATTACCTCACACCCATCAGAATGGCTATAATAACAAGACAAGAAATAACAAGTGTTGGAGAGGATGTGGAGAAAAGGGAACACTCACACACTGCTGGAGGGAATGCAAACTGGTGCAGCCACTATGGAAAACAGTATGGAGATTTCTCAAAAAATTAAAAATAGAAATACCATATGATCCAGCTATCCCACTACTGGGTATTTATCCAAAGAACATGAAATCAATAATTCAAAAAGATATATGCACTCTTATGTTCACTGCAGCATTATTCACAATGGCCAAGATGTGGAAGCAACTCAAGTGCCCATCAATGGATGAATGGATAAAGAAGATGTGGTATATATACACAGTGGAATACTACTTAGCCATAAAAAAGACAAAATTGTGCCATTTGTAACAACATGGATGGAACTTGAGGGTATTATGCTGAGCAAAATAAGTCAGACAGAGAAAGACAAATATGGTATGACTTCACTCATATGTGGAAGATAAACAAACAAACACATAGAAAAAGGAGAACAGATTGGTGGTTACCAGAGGGGAAGGGAGTGAGGGGAGGGCAAAAGGGGTAAAGGGGCACATATGTACAGTGACGGATTAAAACTAGACTATTGGTGGTGAATGCAATGCAGTGCACACAGCAACTGAACTATAATAATGTACACCTGAAATTTACACAATGTTATAAGCCAATATGACCTCAATAAAATAATTTAAAAAATTGATATCCCCAATACACATCCTTTGTAATTTCATGAATTTTGGTTTGAGTTCTCTCAGTCTTTCTTTCTAGAACTATTGTAGCATATCCTTGTGTATCAGTCTCTTTATCCCCTTAATCATTTTAGGTATGGTTTACAAGGCTCTTCTAGATATTCTTAGCAAATAGAACAGAAGGAATCGGACCACATGTGAAATATAATTTTGATTCTAGTGTCATTCTTGATGTATCTAGCACATTTCTGACTTATTACCAACAATTCTTCATTAAGATATTTGTTCAGTCATTCTTATTCCTTGTCTTCCTGTCTTAACCAGTTCTCAGTCCATAATAAAACATCACCCATATACAGAAGACACACATATAGAGGCCTTTCACTTCTATAATGGTGGAGTAAGGACCTCTGGAATTCTGCTCCTCCATAAAAGCAACAAGTATACTGGCAAAAGTTGTTAAAAATCAACTTTTTCAGAATAAAAAGGCTTGCAACAGCCAAGAAGTAATTATTCAGGAAAATGGCTGAATCTCATTAAAAACAGTGAGTTTTATGGTATTTTAACTTGCTCTATTCCCATCTTCCTTTCCTCGGCTCAGCATTAGCCTTGAAAATTACCAGCCTTACAGCCACAGGAAGGTGCAGACCAAGTTTGTAGTTCCACAAGAAGCTACATTCCTGAGAACTGTCACGATTTGACTTGTCTGGCAGCTACTTGGAAAGATCCCTTTCACAAGGGCTTGTGTTTATTAGACTTGTCTCAGAACTTGCTCAGGGTGCTTGCTGAAAATAATCCACAGCAATTATTTAAAATCATAGCTGGCTGAGCCAGTGATAAAAGTTGGGGCAAACAAGAGGTTGGCCAAACATCTTAAAAGGAAGAGCTGGGGAATGAGAAGTCCATACAACTCATTATAGAGTTGCCACATTATTTTACATAAAATACTCAGTTTCCAACAAAATATTATAAGACATGAAAAGAAACAGGAAATTATGGCCCATACACAGGAAAAAAGCAGTCAACAGAAATCATTCCTGAAGATGCCTGGATGTTGGACTTACTAGACAAAGACTTTTAACCAACAGTTATAAGTTTAATTAAATTAACAATTAAATGTTCAAAGAGCTAAAGGAAATCATCTCTAAAGAATTAGAGGGAAGTAGTAGAAAATGATGTCTCACCACATAGAGAATATCAGTAGAGATAGAATATTTGAAGAAATATTGCTAAAAACTTCCCAAATTTGGTGAAAAACATTAATGTACATATGCAAGAAGCTCAACAAATTCCAAGTAGAAGAAACTCAAAAGAGCCACACCTAGACACATCACAATCAAACTGCTGACAGACAAAGACAGAATCTTGAAATCAGCAAAACAAAAACCACTCACAAGTGCAGGAAACCCCATGAGAGTAACAGATGATTTCTAGTCAGAAACCTTGGAGGCCAGAAGGCAGCTGAATGACATATTCAATGTGCTGAAAGAAAAAGACTGTCAATCAAGAATCTTATATCTAGCAAAACTATCCTTTAAAAATGCATGCTCTGCTTTGGTGGCCCAGGGTTTGAGGGTTCGGATCCTGGGCACAGACCTACACACTGCTGATCAGGCCATGCTGTGGTGGCCTCCCATATACGAAATAGAGGCAGATTGGCAACAAATATTAGCTCAGGGCCAATCTTCCTCACCAAAAATAAATAAATAAATAAATAAATAAATAAATAAATAAATAAATAACCATTCCTAAAAAAAAAAAGTTAAGGAGAAATGAATACATTCCCAAATAAATTAAAACACAGAATTCATTGCTAGCACATCTGCCCTGCAAGAAAGATTAAAAGAAGTCCTTCAGGCTAAATGAAAGGACATTAGACAGTAACTCAAATCCATATGAAGAAATAAAGAATACCCTTTGTAAAGGTAACTACATAGGTAAATATGAAAGATAGCATATATGTATTTTGTTTGTAATCTTTTTTTATTCTATCTGATTTACAAGGTAACTGCATAAAGGAATACCTAAAAAATTGTGTTGATGGGCTTATACTGTTTAAAGATGTAATATATACGACAATAATAGCACAAAAGAGGGGAGAGGGGATGGAGCTATACCAGAGCAAAGTTTTCATGTACTATTGAAACTAAGTTGGTATTAATCCAAACTACATTGTTTTAGATTACTATGTTAACTATAATCCTCAGGGCAACCACTGATAAAATAACAAAAAAATATATATTAAAAGAAATAAGGAAATTAAAATAGTACATTAGAGATATCCATTTAACATAAAAGAAGGCAGTAATGGAGGAATACATGAACAAAAACCACGTAAAACATACAGAAAACAAATAGCAAAATGGCAGACATGAATATTACCTTATCTGTAATTACATTAAACATAAATGGTTTAAACACTCCAATAAAATGGCAGAGATTGGCAGAATGGATTCAAAAAAATGATTCAACTATATGCTGTCTAGTAGACATATTTTACATTCAAAGATACAAACAGGTTGAAAGTAAAAGGATGGAAAAAGATATATCTCTTCTGAAAAGCAAAAGAGAGTTGGAGTGGCATTACTAATATAAAACAAAACAGAATGCAAACTTTTGTTTTAGAACTTTGTCAAATGCCTTTTTAAATTTAAGTATTTTTCTTCTCTATCCATACATTTGTTCCTACAAATTCTAAGAATAAAAATAGTTTTACTGCCCCTTATATAAACACGTTACCTTCTGTTAAATTATTCTTCCTAACATATTCAAATTTCTATTCTCAGGATCTATTCTATAGGACAGAATTTTGCTTTCTAGCATTTTACGAAGGGCAATACAGCATATATTTTTTTCCTTGAGTTGAGATTTATAGATATTAAATTGGAGAAAAAACACAGAATTCAAGAAAGCTCTTAATATTTCTTTAAAAACTTCTGAAAAACTTTAATCAAATGATTTGTTTCTCATTTAAAGAACTATTAGATTTTCATAAGGAATGAAATGATCTCCTTTTCCAAGAACCTTAAAATCTTTTATCAAGCATATGGGTCTACAGAATTAATAAGAGATAGAAATTAAGAAATGGTAATAAAAAATCTAAAATCTAAAGAGTAATCTTGGTCTTGGAAAGAAGGTATCAATAACTTAAATGCGCATAGCACTTTGCAGATTTTAAAGGCATTTTCTATACATTACATTATTTAATCCTTACAATAACCCTTGTGAGATGGCAGAGTAAGTAGTTACCCTCATTTTACATATTAATAGGCAAAGGCTCAGTAGATACCAAGTGAGTCATAGGTAAGACAGCTTATAGTTTCAGAGCCAGGCTCTTCTGATTTGAAGTCCATTGCTCTTTCCTTCATCCCTCAATGCCACTAGAGACATAAATGTAAGGTACATCTATGTTATTACAGTTCTCTTCTAACTTACAAAGCAATAATAATGAGAACTACGGGGAAAGAATGTTCAGGTGCCTGAATCAGATTCCTAAAAGGGTCTTAAAAAAAAAAGATCTTTAATAGTATAAAACTATAATGGGAAAGAATCTATGTATTCATCGTAACTGCTAGTTCCAGAAACCTTTAAAACTTAGTTCAGTACCCAGAGGTCTTTCTTTTTTTCCAGAAAGTGCAAGAAAGAAAAGGGATAGAAGGATGACTAAGGCAGAAGAGGGCTTTTTATTTTTGTTTCAAGCTTTTTTTGGATAATTTTTTAACCGTTTTGAAAATTATTTTTCAATTCATGTCTTTTTGTATAATATTTTAATCTTTTCTAAAAATATAGGCAAACTGTCAGGTAATGGTGAGTCAAATATACTTGCATTCTTACGAAAGTCATTTTTAGTATAGTAAAGAGAACTTAGACTACATGACAATTTTAAAATAGTTTGGAAAGAAGCTGTAAGTTCATACATTAAATGCTCTTCAAAACACATGGTCATATCATTTTAACATCTTTTAGAGGTTAATTGCTCTTTTTGAGCTGAAATAAAGGGTGGGCAGTGAAAGGAGTTTTTAAAAGGAAAAAATAATCCTTAATAAATTACATAGAATAAAATAGAATTGTGTCACCAGCACATGGGTCACACAAACTAGTTTTACCTTATCGCTTTAAAAAAGCATTATATGTTCTAGAAAGAAATTTCTCCATTTAAATAGATTCCTACTTATTTATACTCAAACTACTTTTACATTTACTTAGAAAAATTTTCAGAATAACTTACCATTCTTTAACAGTTACTTCTCTAATCCCTTCTCCAATGTCTGAGAGTTTGAATTGAACAATCTGTCCCTGTAGAGCTTTAAAGACAAATGAGAAATGATCTCATTAAATCTGTAATGTATTGGTAATAGATGCTTTTACATCTAAAATTAGAAAATATTCTCAAGCAGAGGCAGAAATTATTCCATTTTACAGATAAAGCATTTTATAGTTTTTAATAGCATAGCCAATATTCATAATCATCAAAGATTTAAATAAATTATTCAATGACACAGACTTACTGACACTGCAACAGAACTTTTCTAACTTCCAAAATAATGTTCTTTTACAAGAGTATAGAAGGCCCTCTGACACACGAGATTTTGAAACAATAGTGATGAACAGAAAATAGAACAAGACATAGTGTAAATGGAGACCCTGCTGGATCTCCTTGTTTTATGTTATGAAACTGTAATAACCATTAACAGTCTGCTTTTAGATCTCTTTTGACTTCATATAACTATTGTCATTCTTGGTGGCTAAAGATCAGGCAGATACATATCTAGAAGACTTGATGGAAAATTTTTATTTGCCCAAACTGTATTATGTCAACTTATCATTAAATTTTAGGCTTCTCTTTCCTCTCTCCATTTTTTTTTTACCCCTTTTCAAGTTTCTACCCTCTTTTTATAACGCTTAGATGCCAATGATACTTTATGGTAATTAGCCCCAAGAGAGAAAGTATTTCTGGTCAACAGAAAGTATGCATGGACCCTCTCACATTTCCAGGTTAACAAGTGGCTCTGAACTGATTCAAGAGTGCTCCTCTATTTTTCGACTGCTGTTAATCAAAATTTCTCATAAAATATACAACATAGCTTTGACTCAACTTAATTCTAGTTTTAAGACATTTTTCCCTGAGGAAATAGAAAGGTACACAAAGATTTGTGCTCAAGAATAGTTATCATGAAGAAGTGGAAACCAACCTAAGAAACCAAAAAATGACTAGTAAATACATTGACACCTCTATACAAGCAATATTATTCAAGGAACGATCTGTGCTATTGGAATATCATGGAAATATGATAGTGTATAGCATGGTTAGGGAATGACAAACAGTTCTGTATGGCCGAAGAAGGATATGTGGCAAGAAATCAGACCAGATTTAAAAAGGCTTTGGGTGCCATGCTGAGGTAAGGTGTCTGGAATTTATCCTAAAGGTAATCAAGAGCCAATGGTAATTAAATATGTCATAAATTCTTTGCAGCTGCTCCCATAAGACGTAGAGTTTATTTTACCACTACTACTTAAATCTGTGTTGGCCCATGACTTGCTTTGACCAGTAGAATATAGCAGAAGTAAAGTTGTGCAAGTTTTGAAGCCTAGACCTCAAAGGACCTCACAGCTTCTACCTTCTCCCTCTTGGAATACTGCCTTGAGAGATCGCCATGTAAGAAAGCTGATCTAGTCTAGTGGAGGATGAGAGAGGCCATGTGGAGGAGAAATAAGATGCCCCAGCTGAAAACATGCACCAGTTGTTAGACATGTGAGTGAGACCATCTTGGACCTTCCAATCCAGATGATCCTCTAGCCAAATACAGTTACATTAGCAAGCCCAGACGAAACCAGCAGAGGAGCCACCCAGCCAACCCCCAGAATCCTGAGAAATAAGAAATCATTATTGCTTTAAGCCACTAAGTTGCGGGGAGGGTTGTTATTTAGCAACAATTAACTGATAGGGAGTCCCATCTGCTATTTCAGATCTGTAACTTTAGATCCACAATTTTAGAAAAAAATCTCTCTGGCAAGAGTATGGTGGATGGGACTGGGGAAGGGGTGGCAGAGAAAGCAGTTAGGAGGCTATTGCAGGTTAAGAAACCAAAGTATGGAACAGCTTTCAAAGTTGTCTGAAAAGGAGAAGACAGATTTAAGAAATATACATGATATAAATTAATAGATCTTGGTAATCAATTTGATGTGAGACAGAAATCAGGATGGCTCTAGGTTTCCAGCTTAACTACTTACTGTGTTAGGGAATCTAGGAAAAGGATGTATCCCAAAAACCCAGAGCAGTGCCTTGGCACACAGGAGGGGATCAATAAATATTTGTGTTGAATGAATTTATTCTCACAACAATACAATGAGTTAGACACTATGATTACCCCCATTTTCCAGATGATAACACAGAGAGAAATTAATTAACTTGCTCAAAGTTACGCAGCTAGCTTGGTAGACCAAGAACCCAAAGTTCATGATAAGTGTTTAGACACTGGAACAGGGTGAGTTTCTGCTTGAGTGACCTCTATTTTCTCCAAGAAGAGAAAAGATCAACTTTGGAAAGCAGAAATCTTTAAAAAAAATGGCAAAGATAAGGTTTACATATCTTAGGTGTTGTGGAAGATGACATATAAAAGATATGGAAGGATTGATTGATCTCAGGGGTTGGATCTGCCTGGAATTCCCCTATTTTTCATTGCTAGCACAGATGAAGGTGCTCAGTATCTGTCAAAAGCTTAATGAGAGCCAGCCCTGATGGTCTAGCAGTTAAAGTTCAGTGTGCTCCACTCTGGCAGCCCAGGTTCAATTACCAGGTGCAGAACCATACCACTCGTCGTCAGTAGCCATGCTGTGGTGGTGGCTCACATAGAAGAACTAGAAGGACTTACAACTAGAATATACAACTATGCACTGGGGCTTTGGGGAGGGAAAAAGAAAAGAGGAAGATTAGCAACAGATGTTAGCTCAGGGTGAGTCTTTCCCAGCAAAAAAAAAAAAAAAAAAGCTTAATGATGTAACAAAAGCCTAGGGCTCTTTCTCAAAGTTCTAAAGAGACCATCAGAAAAAAAAGTTTTAGTGTCCTCCCATACCTAATACTTAAAGCCTCAAGTTCTTTAGAGGGTAGAAAAAGTTGGGGGAAAGGTAATTAAATGATAAAAGCCAGACAACTTTCTATTTAGGATCACCTCAGCCTGGTTTCATTACACTGTCTTAAGATGACAGATTAAATGCCTCATCCAACAAACAATAATACAGTGAGTACAAGATGTGCTAAGTCAACAATTCACTTTGACTGAGAAAGTCACATCAATGTTGACTATTGCACTTAAATGAGTCAGATGATAAAGAACAAGACAACTCATTCCCAACATTATGAAGACACAAGTATTAAGGGGAAGTATGTGAAAGGGGGGTGAGGGTGGGGGTGCAAAAAAAAAGAAGAAAATGAGAAATAGATAGATGTGGGCAGAGCGAGGAGGACCGTGCTAGAAATAAAAGGTCAACTTTTTTTACTTTGATAAGTCTTCAATTACTTTTAAAAAAGTACTGAATAAGATACAAAACATTATTTCATATAGACTTTAAGATCATACTTACCAGCAGTTGTTTTCAGCAACTGATGTGGATGACTATACTTGAACGAAGGATAACCAAAGAAACACACATATTTTGGCTTCAAAACATGAACATGACTACATGTTTGAAAGTAGTGAACACAAAGCTAGAGATGAGAAAACAGAAAAAAGTAAAAGCCTTATAAATTATCTTAATGGCTTATCTCTGTAAGCATATTTTGAGTTTCAAGTCTATTCTAAAAGAATAATCACTGTTACAATATAAACAGTGTGAAATTATCTAGGCTGAAATCAGAATACTTGGCATCAGTGCCAATCAAGTTTATGAAGATTGGTTATTCTTAGGTATTTCTGGTCAAGAGATCAAAGGAACTCAAATCTTAGTACACAGAGAAAATTTTGTTGTTCTTTTGTTTAGTAAAATTATATCCTTTAGAGTAGATTTGTTCATATGTTCATGATCCTTGCCTAAAATTCCTTATGAAAGTAAATAAATTTTAACATATTCTGTATAAACACATCAGCTCGTAGGTGTATTGAGTCATTAAAGACTTCCTGAAGTAAAACTACTCAAGAATTCAAAAGTGACTGTTAGCATCTAAAAACACTGAAAAACACGTGTGGTATTGTATCCAAAGGTTTCTTATCGTAATTTATAGATGTCTCTTTAGATTTAACTATTTTATGTAACATCTTAGAATAATAAAAGACAACATGTTATAGAAATAAGTAGGCCTAAATGAATATTGATACATCAAGACATCACTCGATCTATCAAAACCTAAGTGTCTGAAAGGTAGAATATTTTATTTTGAAAGTTAACATTTCAATGTTATTAATATGTGATTAACTACATCACACTTTTAAACGCAAAACACAGAAATTTCTAACCTTCTTAGTGTATCTGAGAATTCTGGTATGTACTCGAAATTTTTTCATTTATGTAGGAGAGAATTACCTTTACTTAAAAAAAATTACTATATCATCATGTGCTTTCTACTCTAGTGGTGAATAGCCCTTAAAATTTAAAAGTTCTATTATAATACATATTATGCTATTCAGTATAGTCATGTTATAATACATATTTATAAATAGGAATTTTGTTCTTTCTCTTATAGCAAATAATATAAAAACAAATATTTGGTTTACTCACAGAAATAATACATTTAAATTCTTATGTGATTTTTCACTGTAATTTCTAAGCTGTTACCGATTTCTGAAGGCAAAGAAAAACTGACGATCCCTTTCCTAAAATATGAATAATCTTAAATCATACATCTTACCTTTACTTTAAGGGATCATTCTAAAGCGACTAATCTTTATAATATCTATGTTTTAGTCTTATTAACACTAACATTCTGGCTATTAACATAAAGCCTAACAAAAATATCTAATATTGATACTTACAACTTATCAGATAGGGAAAGAATTCTCTTTCCCAAACACTCCAATTTTGTTTGTCCTTCCTTTCTCCTACAACTCCCACCACCCCGGCTCTTAGTCAACAACAGAATCAAAGAAGTAAATCAACCTCTCCATCAGACATTATAAAATTCAGGGACAGTAAATGAAAGTTTTGACTATATACAGTCACCTTGATATAAATACAATAGTTCATATTTTTAAAACCTTTGAAAGAAAATTAAATTACTAGAAGGTCCTACCTTCAACAACTCAACTTTTATTGAGGAACTATTAATGGGTCGAGAGAGGCACAAACTATCGAACTTAACATGTATTGAGCACCTACTGTGTGCTGGATACTTTAAAGGTCTTTACATGCATCATCTTCTTTATGTCTCACAATTACCTTCTGGAATAGGCAAATTAGCCCTCTTTAACACACGAGAAACTAATGATCAGAAAGGTAAAGTAATTTGTCCAAGGTCACACAGCAAATGAATGGTAAAACTCAGCTCTAAAACCAAGTAAATTTGACTCCAAAGCCTAGGCTTATAACATCACATTGTTATAAGTAGGAGGATTGATCCCTGCTTTCAAGGCCTTAACAACCTAGCTGAGACAATAAACACACACACACACTCACACTCATGTGTGGGCGTGTGTGCTCTAATATTTTGCAGTAAGTTTAGACAATAGGTGTTAAAGGAGTTTGAGGGATTTTTTTTTCAGGCTGGGTTGACCTGGGAACACTTCCTGGAGGAAGATCTGAGCTGGGTCTTGCATAAGAGGTATTAATAATTAAAGAGCAGAAGGCCACTTTTAAGGCAGAGGAAACAGCATAAACAAAGTGACTGCAGCAGGACAGTGAGTAACTTGATTTGGCTTGATCACATTTATTAAAGGGAGCGGTGGACATAGGTCAAATTATTGATGACTGTCAATTATTGATGACAAGTCAAATTATTGATGACTGTAAATGTCAGGATAAGGAGTGTGAATTTAGCCATTATGGGTTATTGAAGAAAAAAGATTAAGAAATCAATCTAGTTGTAGTTTACTGATTAGATTATAACAGGTAAAACCAGGAGAGAAAGAAAAAAATTAAGAAACTGTTACAGTGTTTGAGCCATGATATGACAGACAGGCTCCTGCCTGAGGTGATCAACAGTAGAAAAAGAAAGGCAGCAATGTAAGTGCAGCTGGCATCATGTAATCAACAGCGACCGAGTGGCTGTTAAGAGAAGGCTACAAACATCAGTGAAACTGTTGAAAGGAAGGATAAAAAGGCAACAGAAAGGAGGAGAAAAAATAATTTTTCAAGCTAATAATAATAGGAAATAAATAATAATTCAACAGACAGTTGTTGAGCACTCCTAAAGATAGGGACTGTGCCGGGCTTGGGAATTCAAAGCTAAATAAGATACAGAATATAGTCCCTGAATTCAGGTTGCTTACACTTTACTACAAGAAGACAGATAAAATAGAAACATTCAATATGATTCGGTAAGTTAATCAAGAGTCAAACAGATGATGTCCTAGATGAGTATAAAACACAACATAATCAGGTCATCTTAATAATTTACTACAGGTGATCAGAGCTCTTGTTGATTATAACAGATGGAAAAAACGGAGTGTTCTTTACTGAATTGTTCAACAAATGTTTACTGAGTACATACTATGTGCCAGGCACTTGGGAGTAGAGAACAAACAGATGCAATTCCTTCCCTTATGGAAGGTACAGCCCATACTGTGAAAGATAAAGACAAGTAAACAGGTGATTATAACACAGTGTTATAATGGGGGAAACAGAAAGTGTTAAGGGAACACAAAGGAAGGAACCTACCTGGAGAAAGCGAACTTGAAGTAAGACCTACGGGATGAGTAGGAGTAACCCAGCAGATGAGGTGTGTTGTAGATAAGGCCATAGGGGAGTAAGGCAAGAGTATTGAAAGCAGAGGAAATACACGTGCAAAAGGTCTAGAGTCCGCAGTCAAGAGAGAACACAGTGTGATTGATTAACTGAAGTTGTCTGATGTAGTTCTAGTGTAGTTCAGTGTGGGGTAAGGGCGAAGGAAGCGTCCAAGTGGGGGTTGGGATGGGTAGGTTTTAGCAAGGAAGGAAACCTGAGAGATTGGAAAGGTCCAGATCATAAACTGCCTCAGTCATTTGAATTTTGGACATTTTGCTGAGGGCAGTTTTAAGCAAGGAAATGGTATTCTCAAATTTGTGTCTCTTTTATAAGATCACCCTGGCTATATTAATGGAGAATGGATTGGATAGGTACAAGATTAGAAGCAGAAAGTCCAACCAGGAAGGACCAAGACATCTGTAGTTGGGGGTGGGATGGAGAATAGAGACTAGATTTTGCAGAGATTTACAGGCTAAAATCAAAAGAGAAACAGGTTGGAGGGTTTAGTTCTGGAGCCTAGAATCTGCTGTGCCTTTGAGGCATTATGGCAGACACTGTGAGATGACTAAGGCTAGCTCCTCCAAGGTCCCTTAAGCTGTGGCCATGTAACACAGTTCTAGCTAGTCAGTCTGGCTGCACCAACCCCCTTCTCTTTCTTTTTTTTTTTTTAAGTTTGTTTTGTTTTGTTTTTTTGTGAGGAAGATTAGCCCTGAGCTAACATCTGTTGCCAATCCTCTTTTCGCTAAAGAAGATTGGCCCTGGGCTAACATCCGTGCCCATCTTCCTCTACTTTATATGTGGGATGCCTGCCACAGCATGGCTTGATAAGCAGTGCATGGGTCCGCGCCTAGGATCTGAACCTGTGAATCCTGGGCAGCCGAAGCGGAGCACGAGAACTTAACCATTATGCCACCAGGCCGGCCCCCCTTCCTCCTTCTTAAACATGAAATTGAAGGAGCCCTCTTGTGACCATGAGGGAAAGGCCAAATGAATTGCTGAAATGACAACCCTGATAATGATGAGCCATGTAATCAATGCCATCTGCCATCTAACTTTGGGATGCTTTGTATGCAGAGTTAATTAATTTCCTATTTATTGGTTGGGTATTTATTACTTGCAGCTGACAAACAACTAAAACACATGCAGTTGGAGATTTGCAGGACAGGAGGATATATATAGGTCTGGAGTAGAGCTGGCTTGAAGACTGAGGAACTTGGGGAATCATCAGCATATAGATGGCAACTAAATTCAAAGAAGCGGTTGAGATAACCCAGGAAGTGCAAGAAGTGCAGAGGCCCCAAGTCAGAGCCCTTAGAAACAGCAGTATCTAAAAGTGGGGCAGGGAAGTAGGAGGACAGTGGGAAGCAGTGGCCAAAGATAGAGGAACAAGAATATTGGGAAGCTAGTGTCACAGAAGTCGAGGGAGAGGTCTCAAAAGAGAGGCCAATACCTAGTAAGGTGCAAATCTCAAGCTCTACAGTATCCTCAGGGAACTCTTCTCTGACCTCCAAGACCTGTCCTACCTGTTCCTGTACAGTATGCACTTGTCCCATCACAGCACTTCTAATGCTGTGTTGCAATTGTTTAATGTCTTCCTCCTTCCCCCGACCTCTATCACAAGGCTGTCATTAATCTCTGAGAGGGCAGGGTAGTGTCTGTCCTATTCATATTTGCATCTCCAATGCCTAGCATAGTACATAGAGGCCCCTTGAAAGGTTTTGTAAAATCAGGGGCGACCACTGTTGGAAGATCTGGGCAAGAGGAGACCCAGGAAGAAAAACGCTATGCAAATAGGATGAAACACTACGATGACTGGGATCTTAAATGTTTGGTGCTAAAAGACTGTGTGTGAAAGAGGGGAATTGCAGGAGAGATGGTGGTGAGTGCTGGCTCTGGTGATAAAAAGGTTGAAAAGACGTTGGTGCAGACGTAGAAGACAAGAACAGGCCCAAAGAAGGAAGCTCGAGCCTCTCAGCTCCTCGGAGGCAAAGACCCACGGTGTTAGGCTTTGCTTGACGGGTCTCTTCCTCAAGACTGAGTTCCTTGAGGGCAGTGGTCCTATTATCAGTGTCTGGCATAAAGTGGGTGCTCAATAAATGCTGAATGAATACATATATATCTCCGTATCCCCAGCGCCCATCACAATGCCCGGCACTGGATGATGCCCAATGAAAAGCTAACGGGCGAAAGGCTAGCTGGGCCCGTGGAGAAAGAGCTGGAAGGCGCCCGAGTCGCGGTAGAGGCGCGCCCAGGTAGCGGAGGGAATGGGTTTCCAAACCCGCCGGCTCGCCTCCAAGCCGGCCGGCTCGCCACCTTCTCTGCCCTTCGTCTTGCATACATCCCCCCACCTCTCCATCACGCGTGCCCTGTACGCGTGGCACTCGGAGGACAAAGTAACACACCTCTCCCGGACGACTCCGGACAAATCACTCCTTCCCAACCTCAGATGTGCGCCAAACCACTTACCAGCCGTCCAGCATTCTGGCTCCAGGTCCTTATCACACGCACTGCGGCCATTTTACTCCGGATATGACAAATGCTCCGCGGTTGAAGAGTCGCTCCGCGGGGCCACCTATCCGGAGCCGGGCACCGCGCCTCCCCCTGAGCGGCCAATGGAGAGCGAAGGGACGAGCCTCCCACCGAGCAGCCAACCAGGGAGGGGCGGCGCCTGAGAAAAACCCAAGGGGGTGGAGAGGAAAGGAGCCCCGGGGAAGGGCAAAAACGGGAGGACGGCAGCCCAAATTTAATTTCAGGGACAAAGTTGGGCAAGGCACTGCTGTGTAAGTACATGTGCACTGTGTAAGTACGTGTGTAAGTACATGTGCTGTGTAAGTACACGTAACACTTAGCGTAACCGCCTGGATTAAAGAACACAGGACACTTCTATACTTTGTAGCAAGGCTCTGTACCGCTAGTTGAGTTACAAGTCGTTACTGGAATGCTTCCCAATGACTGGAATTTCTTACTCCCGTTGATTTTTCTTGATTACTCAAATGGGCTTTTCAATTTTTTTTTCCCCATGGAAGATGAACGACGATGCCCGAATGTCTAAAATAAACACGTCATCAACGTTATCTTTCCTTCTTAGAGAATGTTGTCAGATGCAGCTGCCCAGCATATGCCATATATGTCACAGACATATAGACTTGATTTACTTGTCTCTTGGAGAAATGTCAAATTCAGGTCAAGAGGAACCAGTAAAGATCGGAGCTTTAATAGTCAATCTTCCTCAATGCAACTAGGAGACCAAATTCTAGAAATGTCCAGCATGACATTTGTCTGTTCTTGCCTCTTACATGGGAATGAAAATCTGCTCAGATATCCAAAGAATCACAGAGGGGAAAAAAAAACAGGGAACAAAGGCAACATTATAAAGCCTCAATGTTGAAGATTAGTGGCTGTGAAACAAACTCTCAGGTATTTCACAAATTCACTAATATTACCCAAATTCACACTTTTTTTTTTTTGCCTTATTTGCCTTTCAGTGTATTTCACACACACAAACTACTATAAGCAATAAATCTAAATCATTACCTTCATAAGAAAATCGGAGATAGTCAAAAGAACTTTAATTTTTTTATTGATGTCTTAATAGTTTATAACATTGTGAAATTTTAGTGGTAATGATGTATTTTTTTTATGATGTCTTAATAGTTTATAACATTGTGAAATTTTAGTTGTACATTATTGTTTGTCAGTCACCATATAAATGCCTCCCTTCACCCCTTGTGCCCACCCCCAAACCCCCTGCCCCTGGTAATCACCAAACAGTTCTCTCTGTCCATGTGTTAGTTAATCTTCCACATGTGAGTGAAATCATGCGGTGTTTGTCTTTCTCTCTCTGGCTTATTTCACTTAACATAATACCCTCCAGGTCCATCCATATTGTTGCAAGTGCGGCAATTTTGTCTTCCTTTATGGCTGAGTAGTATTCCATTGTGTATATATACCACATCTTCTTTATCCATTCATCAGTCGATGGGCACTTGGGTTCCTTCCACTTCTTGGCTATGGTGAATAACGCTGCAATGAACATAAGGGTGCATAAGCCTCTTTGGATTGTTGATTTCAGGTTCATTGGATAGATACCCAGTAGTGAGATAGCTGGATTATAAGTTATTTCTGTTTTTAATTTTTTGAGGAACCCCCATACTATTTTCCATAGAGGCTGCACTAGTTTGCATTCCCACCAGCAGTGAATGAGGGTTCCTGTTTCTCCACAACCTCTCCAACATTTGTTATTTTTTGTCTTGGTGATTATAGCTGTTCTAATGGGTGTAAGGTGATATCTTATGTAGTTTTGATTTGCATTTTCCTGGTGATTAGTGATGTTGAACATCTTCTCATGTGCCTATTGGCCATCTGTACATCTTCTTTGGGAAAGTAGCTGTTCAGAACTCTAATTTTTTTTAACTTTCCTACTAACAAAACATTTTATAGGCACTATTAATATATTTGATAACACCACATGCATGTGTTTGTATAAAAAGATAAAGTAGCTATGCCTTTGAAATGAATTATTTTTCTTCCCACGGCCTTTATACCGTGTTCTTAACTTTGCCTTTAACTCTGCTTTCTCCCAAGAAAATATCTAGTTTCTTTTCTTTTACCGTCTTTTTACCTCAGTGGATTACTGCTTCCAAATTCAGTATTATGTTTCCTTATCTTCCCTTCCAACATCAACAGATATACCACCTATTCACTAGTTAATCTTTTCTCTTGAGCTCAAAAGAACCAAACTCATTTCTTCTCTTTTTTATTTTTTAATGTTTTAAGTGGCTAAATAATTTTATTTATTTATTTTTTTGAGGTAACATTGGTTTATCTTCTCTTTTGTAAATTAATAAAATGAGTAATTATGACCTAGCAATTCCACTCCTAGGTATCCAACCAAGAGAAATGAAAACATACATCCACACAAAGACTAGTACTAGAACGATCATAACAGCATTGTTCATAATAGCCAAAAACTAGAAACAGCCCAAATGTCCTTCAACAGGTGGATGGATAAACAAAATGTGGTATATCCATTTAATGGAATATTATTCACCCTTAACAATGACTGATATAATGATATATGCTTTAACATGAATGAACCTCAAAAGTATTATGTAAAAGAAGCCAATATTAAGTAAAAGAAGCCAGATCCAAAAGGTCACATATATGCGGCTGGCTTCATAGCGTAGTGGTTAAGTTCGGAGTGCTTTGCTTCAGTGGCCGGGGTTTATGGGTGCAGATCCTGGGTGTGGACCTACACCACTTGTCAGCCATCCTGTGGTGGCAACCCACATACAAATAGAGGAAGATTGGCACAGATGTTAGCTCAGGGCAAATCTTCCTCAGCCAAAAAAAAAAATGGTCACACATTGCATAATTCCGTTTATATGAAATGTCCAGAGAAGGCAAATCTAGAGAGACAAAAAACACATTAGTGATTGCCTGGGGCTAGGGGTAGGAATGGGGAATGATTGCAAAATGGCAAGAGAAAGTTGTTCGTGGTGATGGAAATTTCCTATCACCAGATTGCGGCAATGGTTGCATAACTCTGTAAATTTACTAAAAATCATTGAGTTGTACACTTGAAACAGGTGAACTTCATGGTATGCATACCTCAGTAAAGTTGTTAAAAAATGTGTTACATTATCTACATACAAAAGAATAATGTAACATATAGGTAAGTCACACATAATAACAAAAACCTTGAACCTGCCTCCCAACTTAAGAAATAGAACTTTTTCTATGCCGGTGAAGGCCACTGTCTGCTCCTCTTCTTAAACTTTCCTCTCCTCCTGAGATAATCATTATCCTGAATTTTGTGTTTACTGTTCCCTTAGTTCCTTTAGAATTTACTATATATATGGATCCCTAAAAATACATTATTTACTTTTGCTTGTTTTGAGTCTTATAAAAATGGTATTGAACTGTATGTATCTTTCTGCAACTAGCTTTTATGACGATACTACTATTTATCCATTCACTGTTCAGTGAACATTTGTGTTGTTTCCGGTTCTTTGCTATTACCATCAGTGCTGCTGTGAACATTCTTGATCATTTCTCCTGGTGCATGTGCAAGAGTTTCTTTAGGGTAGTGCTTTTCAGACTGTAATGAGCATTCATATCAACTGGAGATCTTATTAAAATGCAGATTCCAATTCAACAGATCTGGGTGGGGCTGAGATTCTGCATATTTAACAAGCTCTAGGTGATACAGATGCTACTGGTTAGCCAATTACATTTTGACTAGTAAGATAAGGATATATACTGTACTTAAAAATGGAACTGTTGATGAGCCAGCCGTGATGGCCTAGTGGTTAATGTTTGGCACGCTCCACTTCAGTGGCCTGGGTTCAGTTCCTGGGTGTGGACCTACACCACTCGTCTGTCAGTAGCCATGCTGTGGTGGCGGCTCACATACAAAAAGAGGAAGACTGGCAACAGATGTTAGCTTAGGGCCAATCTTTCCCTGCAAAAAAAAAAAAATGAAATTGTTGAGACATGGGTTATATTTATCTTTAATTTTACCCAAAATAATGATAGATTGTTTTCCAACATGATTGCACAAAATACACAGCAGCTGTTAAGGGAGTACCCATCATTCCAATTTAATATTGTCACACTTAAACAGTTAATGTTCTCCCAATTTAGTAGTTAAAATGGTATTATTGTCTTTAGTTGAATTTTTCTGATAATTAATAAGGTTGAACACATTTTCATATGTTTATTAACTATTCTTGAAATGCCTGCTCATGCTTTTAGCCTATTTTTTCCCTATTGTGTATGTACCTTTCTCTTGTTGATTCGTGTAGGAGTTCTTTATATAGTCTAGACTCTAATGCTTTTTTTTTCTCTTTGCTGAGGAGGATTCACCCTGAGCTAACATCCATTGCCAATCTTTCTCTTTTTGTATGTGAGCTGCTGCCACAGCATGGCCACTGACAAACAAGTGGTATAGGTCCATGCCTGGGAACTGATTCCAGGCCGCTGAAGCAGAGTGCACTGAACGTAACCACTAGGCCACTGGGGCTGGCCCTCTAAAGCTTTTTTACTTGTATGTGTTGCTGATATCTTCTAGTTTCTGACTTGAATTTGCTTTTTTGAAAGTGTCTTTTGATGCATAGAGTTCTTCATTTTAATGTAGTTGAAAGTATCAATTTTTTTTATCATTAGTGTTTTCTGTCTTAAGAAATCTTCCCAATCCAAAGATCCTAAAGGTAGTCTGCTACATTTTCATCTTTTTTTTTCTTTTGTAATTTTAAAAATTGAGATATTATTCACATACCATAAAATTTGCCCTTTTAAAGTGTACAATTCAGAGATTTTTAGTATATTCACAAAATTGTGCAACCACTACCACTATCTAATTCCAGAACATTTTCATCATCCCCAAAAAGAAATCCCATACCTATTAGCAATCACTTCCCATTCTGGAACTTCCCCAGCCCCCAAGCCCCTGACAACTACAAATCTGCTTTCTGTCTCTATAAATTTGCCTATTCTGGACATTTCATACAAATAGAATCAAACAATATGTGG